GGCAACGCGCCCGAGGACCCGAGTGATGTGCCGGCGCCCCCGGCAGCCACCGGTCCACCGGTAGCGGACCCCGAAGTCCCGCCGGAGGAAGTCCACGGCGCGGACGTGACCTTCCCAGGCTGTCAAGCGCCACGTGAAATCAAACGAGCCGTGGCTCGACTTCACGTGAACTTAGGACATCCGTCAGCTGCCGACACCGTGCGCATGCTGGCCCAGAGCGGCTCCGTGACGCCAGAAGCGATCTCGGCCGCTAAGGCACTTTCTTGCGCCTCTTGTCTGCGCTTGAAAGGGAACACCCCGGCACGGCCCTCCCGACTGACAGATCGGTTCGTCGGACAGCTGGGCGACAGCATGCAAATGGATATCTTCTATTCGCGAACGGTTGACGGAACGAACTATCCACTACTTGGAATGGTAGACGAGGCTACCAACCTTCAGCAGGTGTGCGTCCTAAAGGACCGCAACCCGAAAACCATTATCGAGGCGTTCCGCACGACCTGGGTACGCCCGTTTGGTTTTCCCCACAAAATCACCCTGGACCAAGACGGTGCGTTCATGGGAGATTTCTGGACCTACCTCATCGACAACTCCACGGAAGTGGACTACATTCCTCCCGAAGCCCACCACCGGCTAGGCAAAGCCGAGAGGTGCAATGCGGTCTACCGCGAGGTACTCAACCGTGTGGTCGACAGCATGGCCGCTGCCACCCGCGAGGACTTGGAAAAGGCCGTGGACGCAACTACCCACGCCATTAACACCATGCCCCGCACACGAGGACTGTCGGCCTATGCCATAGTCTTCGGCCGCATTCCCAGGGTGCCCGGCGAGCTCTTAACGGACGATGCGTCCCTGGCGGCCCACATCCCCCTGGAGGAGCACAACCGCCACACCATCGTTTACAGAGCCGAAGCACAGAAGGCAGCGGCGCAAGTCAACGTGGACCAACACGTGAGGCGCGCCCTCCTTCGGAAAACCGCGCGTATGAGAGTTGACGACATCACACCTGGTGCTAAGTGCGCCGTGTGGAGGTCCCAGCTCCGTGGCAAAGGCCCCCGAAAGCGAGGCGGCTACATCATAGGACGACTAGTCACTTTTGATGGCCACTGCGCGTGGGTGCAACTTGGTACCCAGACCGTCAAAGTCGACCGCAACCAGCTCAGACCGGCTTATGGCTTCGAAGCATGGTCCCCGACCGACGAAGACATCCGTGCCCTCAAGGACGCTGAAAGAAACTTCCTGAGCGGACAAGTCGAGGACTATCAGAACGAAGGCCCGCCGGAAGATGAACCGCTTGTTCCGGAACTCGAGTTTCCAACAAGCCCCGGTTCACCGGAGCAGTTTTCCGCGTTGGACGCTCCACCAGCCTCGGTGCCTGGTATACCGGTTCCGCCGGAAAAGGTAAGGAGAACAAGTGCCTCGTCAGACGCACCTCCACTTCCACCTCCAGCGGAGCCGCCGCCGCAGGCCATGGACACCGACACGGCAAGCCAAGGGACAAAGCGAACCGCGGAGGCACAGTCTGGAAAAACAACGCCCTCCAAACGAAGTGCCCGACCAAGCTTCTCCTCGAACCTGGTCTGTGAGCACGACGAAATCTTCCTGCGACCTCCTGGCTGGGATGGCTCAGACTGGCAGCCCGACCACCCGGAGAGACTCTCCGCACTGCCGCAGGTGTTCGCCTCCGAGCACGCCGCGCCGGCAATACCATGCCCCGTCGAAGAGGGCATCGAGGATTGCCACTCCTCTTGGCAAGTTTGCTACGTCGGAGACCAAAGAAAGCTAGCCAACGTCGAGAAGCTCACCCGGAAGGAACTCAAGGCGTTGAACAGGGAAGTGCCGTGGCGCGACATAGTCCGGCAAGGAGGAATCGTGTTCGACAAGTACGTCGAGTCAGCTCGACGCGAGCACGAACAGTGGGAGTCTTGGGCCCCCATCCGTCCCTTGTCCGACGAGGAGGCGACCGCTGTTATGCGCGACCCCTTGTTGAGAACCCGGATCTTGAAGTCTCGCGCGTGCTACCGCGACAAAGCTCAGGGTCAAGGCGACCTCCAGGCTAAAACGCGGGTAGTAGTACTCGGACACCGCGATCCGGACTTGCACCACATCTCCAGAGATGCGCCGACTCCTACGCGGCTGACAGAAAGCATTCTGCTTTCGGTGTACATCTCAGGTCGAAACCGGAAGTTCCTAAAGAACGGACGCCGGTGGAAGTTGTGGTGTGCCGACGCCACAACCGCATTCCTCCAAGGTTCCCAAGATGAAGGGGAGCGCCCGCACAAGCTCTACATGATGAGCCCTCGCGACCCCATCCTGGCAAAAGCAGGTGCCTTTCCTGCAACCTTGTATGAGGTAACGGGCTCAGTCTACGGCTTGGCAAATGCCCCTCGACTATGGAGCCTCGAGGTGGGTAAGCGCCTCCTAAACGCCGGCTTCAGGCCGCACGCCCTTGATCGCATGTGCTTCCTGCACTACGACCCCCAAGGCTGCCTTGACTGCATAGCCCTGGTATACGTGGACGACTTCCTAGTCACTTACGCTGACACCTTCAAGCTGGACGTCCTCACCAGCTTGTTTCGCGGGGGACGCACCTCCTCCGATGAAGATGTCATCACCTTTAAGGGCAAGCAGCTCCGGACGGTCAAGGAAAACGGCGTGTATGTCTTGCGGGTCACACAGACGGAGTACATTCGCTCCCTGATTCCCGGCAAGATTACGCGGCAAAGGAGCCGTGAGAACCCCAAGCTCACGGAGTCTGAGCTTTCCGAATTCCGCTCTTGCTGCGGAGCACTACAGTGGCTGGTTGGACAGACCAGACCCGATGGAGCCGCCTGCGTGTCCTTGACGAACCGCGGCAACGACTCCAGCCTGGCAGAGTTGAAGCAGCTCTATGGCTTGATGGAGTACTTCAAACGTACCGACGTCGACGGCCTCACCTTCCACGGCATTCCGCTCAACGAGGAGACGGTCATAGCCACATATGGCGACTGCTCATGGGCAAATGCCGCAGACTATAAGTCTCAAGAAGGCTTGATCGTGTGCCTCACGACGCCCGAGGCTTTAAGTGGGAGCGCGCCGGCCGTACTCCTCGACTGGAAAAGTACCCGTACTCCACGCGTGGTACGATCGACGTTAGCGGGAGAGGCTTACGCAGCCGACGACGCTATCGATCGAGGCGTTCTGGCAAACCAGATGTTTTCAGAGATTATTTTCGGGTGTGAAGCAAACCCCGTCAATAACCTAAAGACACTTCGCCACTGTCACGCCACGGACTGCAAGTCGCTGTATGACGCAGCCATAGCAGCCAACTTCAACACCGAAGAGAAGCGGGTCGGCTTGACAATCCGCGCTATCCAGGAGACCATCGCTCCGCAAGATATGCGCTGGGTTCCCACTACCGCAATGTGGGCCGACGGCCTTACGAAGATCTCAGACAGTCTGAGGGCCACGTTCCTCGACTGGCTCCGCAACCCCAGGGTGCAGCTGAGGTCCGAGGTCTGACCTTCTCTTCCGTGCCGTAGTGCGTAGCCCACAACGAGCTACCCGGCAGCAAAACACGACAGAAGGTGGCTACTACGACCCCTACCTGTCTTTCCGACCTGGAAGCAGCTACGGTTCATTCCGGCTGACTTCACTCCTTATGGTGGAAGCCGCCAAAGTCTAAGACTTTATGGGCTGGCTTGGGGAAGCAATGCTGACCCATACGAGTGCATGCCCTGCACGGCTTTTGGCCCAACAAAAAGTTGGGAGTGTCAGTGCAGTCATGTTTTCATGGGTTCTTTGTACAGTGTGTCCTACCCGTGGAACCTTTGGCCCAAAACCGACAGGGCCCTTGAGTCGCTAGCAGCGCCTGCCATAAAAGCTGCGTTGCTGCTGTTTACCAACACCTCTCTCATATATATATATATATACACATCGTTCACACACACACACACACACACACACGCGTAACAGACGTTCCATGGCAAGTAAGTATAGCGGTTCGTCACAGGTTGGCAAGACTTTCTGCCACAGACTTTGCACTTGCAGTCTTGGATGCTCCGTGAATGCTTTTCGAAAGGATGAAGATAGGCTCCGAGAAAGTAGTCGCGACAGATTTCGCACTTGTAACGAAGAAGTCGACTTGCACATGAATGGATGTGGGACAACCAACGATTGAATATAGAAGAGGATCCGCTGCGCATCGATAAATTCCTGGCCCCTTCGGTGAACCTTATAATGTTGGCGCTAACACGTCCCGCCTGCCACGAGCCGGCCGCGGCCTTTCGTTCAAGACGTCGCAGCGTGGGGGCGACGGCCATAGAAGGGCGCATGGGGTTCATAGTGGTCCACATAGGAGCATAGAAGATCACAGAAGGTCCAGAACAGGGCGCAACCATATGGGGGTCCATTAAGGGTCCATCAGGGCTCCATCGGGAGTTCAGAGGGAGGCTCGCCAGCGGTCTTGTCGATCAAAAAAAGTCTTTCGCGGGAGCTCTGTGGGGCAGGCCCTAAACCGAGCAGGTGCTGCAAAACGGCGGGTATCCGTAGGTGGTCCTGAAGTCGGTGGAATACCAAAGTCTGTGGAGCAACGCCTGCCACGTCCGTCCACTCCCAGGTCCGTGGAGTACCATGCCCGCCAGCCACACCAACCCATTGAGGTCCGTAGAGGTCCCATATGGGGGTCCAAGGAGGTTTTCTGGGGGTGCATCGGGCGTGGTCCATAGGTGAGCGAGGTTTATGGGGAGGTCATAGAGTGTATAAGGGTGTAATTTGTGGAGTTGGCCCGAAACCGCGGAGATCCCGTCAAATGGCGGGCTAAGGCGAGGGGACCATGGGCCTTTGAGCCGACCCGTGCCGGGGCACTGGACCAAAAAGGGGTGGCTCTTCAATGGGGGATTGAGGAGGTGGGTGTTGTTCTTCAACCCCAAACGCCTCATGCCTGGGGCCTCGGTGCAGAAAGCCGACCGCCTTGCATTGTTTTCATGCAAAGCGCCATCTGTCCCTTCAGCGTGTGCAAGCAGGCGTAAGCAGCGGCGAGCCTGACGAGGATATTGTGGGCAAAGGTTTGCAACACGTAGCAGTGGTTGTGCCGCAGTTGCAGGAGAGCTCGAGCTGTCAACGGCAGATCTTGCTGGAAGCTCATTTGTGCGTCGATTCGTCTTTCCTTGATGGTCGAAAACTTGAGGCCCAGCCCGGCTCAACCAAGATCAGCCACAGCTACGACTTTGCTAGTGTCGCAAAGGCAGGGGTCACAAGGAGGCCCGCTTCCTTCGGCGCAAATGGTGGTGCCAGAAGAGGCTTCACACGACGTAGAAGAGCAGAATGCCGTAGACCAGGAAGGGTTGGTTTCCGTCCTGCAGTTGGAAGATGCTTTCCTGCAGAAGGGGACAGAGTTCGAAAAGCAACAGTTAATGATAGTGGAGAAGCTTGAGAGGGCACACGAGGACTTGGCCAGACAGTGGCAGGAGCTGGACAACGAGCGCAGAAAGTCAACAGAGCAGCAGCAACAGCAACGACAGCTCCTTGCAAGAGAGCAGGCTGAGTTGGCCCAGTATTTCAAGGACTTCGAAGCCGAGATGGAGAGGAGGTATTCCTGGCAACAGCAGCAAAAGCAGGAGTTTGAAGAGCAGTGGCACCAGGAGCTGGCCCAAAGAAGGCAAACCTGGGAACACGAGCAAGAAAAAGAAAGAAGCAAGTTGCAGCAGTGCTTTCATGAGCTTGAAGAGCAGCTTCAGAGCAAGATTGAGGTGGCGCAGGTCCAAGCAGAGGACCGCGCCAAGAGTGATGCAGCCGAAAGGACGGCGGATGCACCTGCAGATGCTTCGGAGAAGGCTGTTCCAGCACCAGCAGCACCAGAGGACTGTCGCAGTCAAGTTACCAGTGACCTCCTTCAGCCCAAGCTGGATCCGCATGTTCGGGCAAGACTTTTGGGTCTCACGCCCAGACAGGCGTATGATGCTGATGTTAGCACGGATGCTCTTGTGACAGAGCAGCTAAGCAGCGTGCACACAGAGATGGTCCATGAACGCTCCAGTGCCTCTGCCGGCTCATCAAGCCCTGTGAAGGCTGTGAAAGCAAGTGGCATGCCAGTCCCGGCAATGGCTGCGGCCGCCCCGACCACGGTGGCTGCGGCGGCGCCCATGGTTCCCAGCGCTCTGCGGGTTCGTCTGAGTGGGATGGCCAGCTGCACTAGCTGCGCAAGCACGCCGTGCACCAGCGCGCCGTGCACAAGCGCGCCGCGCACAAGCGCGCCGTGCCCCAGCACGCCGTGCACAAGCATTCCGTGCCCGTGCAGAGCAGAGGAGCGCCGAGAAGCGGAGCGCCGAGAAGAGGAGCGCGGTGGGCACCGGCTCGGAGGGCTCGGTGGGCGGCTTCAGGCGGAGCCTTTGGTCACATCGGCGCCGGAGCCGTCGCGCAAGGCAGGTTCCGGTCGGTGAATGTTGGATCATTCCGCATGTGTCGTTACCATCCGGGCAGGTAAGCTTTCTGGATCCGCCTGGAAGCAACGGGGCCTTCCTGCGAGTTCTGGCTCCTAGCGGTCCTAGCGCTGCCTTGTACTTCGCTGATACATTCGGTTTCTCTGCTTGAAGCTGAGGCCTTGCAAGGTCAGGGAATATGGGAAGTGGAGGGCTCTGAGGCCCCTGAGGCGCGAGAGACGCCGTGACACGCCACATGTGATGGCACATATTGATGCCAGTGCCATGGCAGGTGCCAGCGCAACCCCCACCCTTGGAGCCTGGATCCTGGATGGTTTGGCAAGGTCTTGACAAGGGCTTGACGGCGCATGGCTCTCCTAATTGCAGTGGTGGCAGCTGCCAACGACTGGATGTGCTAGAACTAGGCTGGTCCGGACACATTGCTCAGACTCATTTTGCACGTTCGCGCATGGTGACCTTCCTGAGGTCGCTGAGTGGCCAAGCCACTCAAAGCGTCGAAAAGGAGGCCTTGATGGTAGCGTCTAGAGTCGCGGGTCGTTGTTTGGTCAGAAACTAGCCGCTAGCCTTTGATGAGAGCGCGCAGAAGAAGGATCTTGCGCACATGGACGGTCACGAGCGAGACCTGAAGATCACAGCTTCGTTGGATGCCACCTCCTCAGCTCCTAGCACAAGCGCCAGCATTACAGCTCTCCATGTCCCTTCACGAGCGCCATGCTCCAGGAGTCCGGAGGCCCACGTGTGGTCTCCAGCGCTGAGGCCGCACGGCCCCAAGTGGTGAATGAGAAAGTGTGGTTGAAACCTGCTTGATCCCTCTTTGCTTGGAAACTTTTCCATCCAAACTTGCCTCTAGGGTAGTCTTAGTTCCTCACTTGCTTGATTTTCCCCTTTCTCCTTTATTCCCGGAGACTCTGTTCACCGTGTTTTTCATCTGGGTCGCGATAATAGCAGCATGCCTGTTCCAGTCTCCGTGCTGATTGCAGGCTCCTCGACAAAATGGCTGCCCAGATGCAATTATGCAACGTTGCTCTGGTGGTTGTGGTAGTGCGCTTCTGAACGCCGTGCAGTGTGCTCAATCAAAGTGTGGTCAGTTTGTGACTAGGTGACTCGAGGCAGGCCTATTTGAGGTCCGGGGCTGAGACTTGCAAGGCTTGCGCAGCATTGAAGCATGCTTAGCAGTTACCCAGGTTCCTCCGCAGCGAAATGCTCGCGCAGCAAGCCTACCTCCGGTCGGGTGCTTGGGAGAGAGACGAGTCACGTGAATTTTGCATTTGTGCTCGTGCTGAAGCTGAGTCCAGATCGGACACTGCTAGACCGTCTTATACCACCTTGCGCAGGGAGATCAAGAGCGCCAGGCAGGCGAACAAGCACGTGCCCGGTATGCCCGGTGCCAAGCACAAGCAAGGGGAGTTGAGGGAAGCGAAGGGTAGCGAAGGGAATTGAAAGTAGACGCGGGACTGGAGAGATCAAGGCGCCCCGCTGGACCGAAGGCAAGCTCCCAAGAATCCCAGCGTCTCCAACAGGAGGGATGGAGACAGCCGTGACCTCATCGTCAGGTACAGCTGCCAGTCCAAGGCCTGCAAGGCCTGCATCTCGAAGCATCTCTCGAAGCATCTCTCGAAGCATCTCTCGAAGCATCTCTCGAAGCATCTCTCGAAGCATCTCTCGAAGCATCTCTCGAAGCATCTCTCGAAGCATCTCGCAGCTCTGGGCGCGTTTACGCAAATTGCTGTCTCGCGCTCTTTTTCATTCAGATCGCTCTCTTGTGACAGGCTTGCACATGCGGCCGAGCTTTCGCTGAACTGTTCTTTGCATGCGACTCCTCAGGCGACGACCGGCGGGGGCGTCTGGCAGCGCCTCAGGCTTGTGCCCGAGCAGCTTGCTGCATCGTGCTTATGCCATCTGGAATGAAGGAAGACTAGGTTCCATGCAGGACAGCCAGGCGCTGCGTGCCACAATGGGTCAAACAGTGACGCGGTGTTGCAGAGGTTTGACATTCGACGTCTGAGGCGCAAGTCTTGCGCCAGGGACTAGCAGAAGTGGCCGACTTCAGTTCGGGTCCAAGCATGCGGCGGTTCGTGGCTTTCTGAGTCACGGGTGTTTATTTACCCTTTCAGGCAAGCGCGTGCCGGCGCAGTCATCGTCACAGCTACGTCACGTGAAGGTCTTTCGGTTGTTCCCTCCTACTTTTGACATTGGCCGCCATTTGCCTCAGCCAGGTGGTTGAGCCTGGACATGTCGCAAAGCCTGAAGAAAGTCCAGGTCTCGGAACGACCTTAGCATCATGCTTGTCAGCCTGCACCCGCTGCCAATGGCAAAGGCAGCACGCAGACAGCCGGTGCAGATCCTGCTTGGCACTGCATGGTCACACCTGCTGCTGGCCTTGGATGGATAGCCGCAGCATGTCTCAGTTGCCGAAAGTCTTGTGGGCTGAAGGTCAATGCTGGTGTGCGCGGAGCTTTGGAGGCCCTGATTGCTCAACAGGCCGGGAAAGCGCCGAAGGTTTTTTGAGTAGATAAGAAATTCGCTCAGGCTTGGTCCGTTCCCGGCAAAGCGTTGGCCTACACCTACTCGTTTGCTCCCCGAGTCTCCCCCGATCTGCCACGAGTAGTGCAAGTTGCTAGTGCTCTGTGAACACAAAGTTTTCTCAGGCTTGGCCGTGCGATCCAGAACATCACGCCTCCAGCAAGGCAACGCTTCGATGCAACCATCTCGAGAGACTCTGCTCGCGAAGGCACTCAGGGTCGATTGGATACAAGTAGCTGGCAGTCTAACACCAACCCTGTCATGGACAATTCTGACAATTATCAAAATTATGACATTTTGCGAGGGCTGTTGCCGCCGCTCGGCTTCTCGCAGAGGGCTTTCTTCTACGATGCAAGCAGCAGGTTATCCGAGGTGAAACCGGCCCTGTTCTTCCGTGTCTGCGTGTGTCCGTGTGTGTCTGTGTGCTCACACCCGACCACGTGCACAGGTGATCTCGTCACCATTTGGCTTTGGAGCAGTCTACAAGGGCCGCGCACTTCTTTTCGTGCAGATCTTACTGTTCAGCGGCCAGCCTCCTGATATTCTCTGTTCACTTTAACAGAGCGCTCAACTTTCAGGCATTGGAATTAAGGCAGGCCGAGCGCTTGTGTCAGGCCCTTCAGTCGTCACAAGCAAAGGCACCCTGCACTTTGACCCTGCAGATCTGCACAGTGCTTTGAGGCCAGCCCCGACTGTACGGAGCGCATGCAGGCTGGCCTTTCTCAGGTTCGCAGCTTGCGCCTCTGCTGCCTCTTCTCCAGGCCGAGTGATCCTGGCAGAGATTGCACTCGGACGCTGCCACACAGCGTGCCACTCTTAGGAAGCTGCCCATGCATCGCCCTACTTGACAGCGGTCTGACAGAGAGCCGGCTCTTTGAAGTCTTAGACTTGAGACTGAAGGCGCTGCTCCCTGCAAGAAGCAGTGACTGGGCAACCCGAGGGCCCAGCAGGCTCCCATGCATAACTGAGTTTGGAAGGCGGCGCCTTGCTTGCCTTTCCAGGTTTGGGAGGTTCAGTCCCCTTGGTGCTGCCCTTGGGTTCGTTTTGGGTATCTTTGCGATTTTCAAGCTGTCTGCTTCATGTCGCAAAATTCGCTTCAAAATCTCAGAAGGCGAATGTCTTGGAGGAGGAGTACCGACGTGGAGCCGACTCGGTGCCGAGCCCTTACAGAGTGAAGAAGCAAGAGCCATGAAGAATTTTGTTGAACTTTTGCTTCTTGGGGGGAGCTGTTTCTTTCTTACCGCGAGCGCCCAAGGTACTTTCCCAAGCTTGCAGTTGTGGCACTCCTGTGTTGGGAGCCTTGCGATGCCTCACTGTTAAGGGGCCTCATGTAGTTTAATGTATCTTCGTGCTCGTGACCGCCGCGCTGAGGTCCGGCCAGGGCTCTTCCAGTATTTCTTGCAGAGTGACCTCAGCTTTTCTGTTCATGTGTGCCGTGTGCTCAGAGTCGTTCATGCTGCGAGGTACTCCCGCAAGCTCGTCGGACAATGACAAGGCATGGGCATGGGCATGGGCAAGGGCATGGGCAAGGGCATGGGCATGGGCATGGGCATTGGCGCTGCATGTCGTTGCCGTATACGCTTCACCCATTCCATCCTCACCGCTGCCCTGCATTCAAACATTTTCCATAAATCAGTACATAATAAGAAATACAAAACAAAAACACACAATTTATATGTTCAGTGCCTGGCATCTCTCCAGTCGCAAGGCATCCCTGGCAAGTGGCATAGTCAAGCATTCTCGACCTGACGCGCCTTGGCAACACAAAATTCGACATGCAAGCAATTCGATGCACAGCCTCTTGCTTGATAATGTATGCTTGTCCGTGAGTCGGACGGCCTCAACCTCGAAGGTGACGTTTGCTTTCTCTTTTTTTCGAGGCTAATCGCAGTCCCAGCTGTGTGGCAGCTTTGGCTTTAGAAAAACTGATTTGCCGGTGCTCACCCAGAGTTTTGTTTGGGCTGCTGCAACTGTGCGAGGCACTGCTCTATGCAGGTTCATGCAGGTTCCAAGCCCAAGGGGTGAAATCCACAAGAGGCTCGCCAGCACTACCCAGGCTCAAACGACCAGTTTTCTCTCGCTGCCGTATCGCTGAGTTTGCAATGCCCGTGCCTGAGCCTGACGTCACGGTCCCAGATGGCGACAGCAAGAAAGGCGCGAAGCTCTTTAAGGCCAAGTGTGCTCAGTGCCACACTATTGATAAGGGTGGGAATGCAAAGCAGGGCCCACCTCTCTGGGGCCTTATCGGACGTCAGTCTGGAACCTGTGATGGCTTCGCGTACTCGGAAGCGAACAAGAATGCAGCAATCATGTGGTCGGACAAGCACCTCTTCGAGTACCTCCTGAACCCCAAGAAGTACATTCCTGGAACGAAGATGGTCTTTGCAGGCATCAAGAAGGAGAAGGAGCGTGCGGACCTGATTGCCTACATGATGGAGATGAAGTGAAGAGGGGCTGCCGAACAGCTTGCTTTGCGCCTATGTCGTAGTGGCTAGTCCTGTTTTTTCGGCGCACGCCGCACGCAACGCGGATGGATTGATGTTACAGGAAAATGCATCCATTGGTGAGGGTGCGTCACAGATAGTCGGCACCATTGAGAACACACGTCCACATTCTAAATCAGGAGCACGTGAGCATGGAACATCTCTGGGTCGCAATGGCGATGCCCATCTGCTGTACAACCACCAGTAGGAATACCGCACTAGTTTCGAACCGTCCAGTGTGGTGCATGCCAAGTAATTACGCACGCACTCTGTCGATGCTCTGCTGCCCAAGCGACAGCCGGTAGGCCCTTCAAGTAATCTGGTCAAAACACAACCTTTGCTGCAATGCCCGTGCCTGAGCCTGACGTCGCGGTCCCAGATGGCGACAGCAAGAAGGGCGCGAAGCTCTTTAAGGCCAAGTGTGCTCAGTGCCACACTATTGATAAGGGTGGGAATGCAAAGCAGGGCCCACCTCTCTGGGGCCTTATCGGACGTCAGTCTGGAACTTGTGATGGCTTCGCGTACTCGGAAGCGAACAAGAATGCAGCAATCATGTGGTCGGACAAGCACCTCTTCGAGTACCTCCTGAACCCCAAGAAGTACATTCCTGGAACGAAGATGGTCTTTGCAGGCATCAAGAAGGAGAAGGAGCGTGCGGACCTGATTGCCTACATGATGGAGATGAAGTGAAGAAGGCCCTCGACTGAGCAACTCAATTTTCAAGCCTGATTCATTACTCGGGCACCTGTTTTGGTCGCACGCCGCACTGTCGCGAGCGTACGGGTTTCCTGACAGGTGCCGACCCACCAAGCGTACAGGAAAAAAGCGTGCATTGCAGAGACTCAGTGTGAACGGATTGTCATTCGTAGTTCTGTCGATGTGCTGTGCTAGATCGATAGCCAGTATGGTGCATGCCAACTAATTACGCACGCACTCTTTCGATGCTCTGCTGCCCAAGCGACAGCCGGTAGGCCCTTCAAGTAATCTGGTCAAAACACAACCTTTGCTGCAATGCCCGTGCCTGAGCCTGACGTCGCGGTCCCAGATGGCGACAGCAAGAAGGGCGCGAAGCTCTTTAAGGCCAAGTGTGCTCAGTGCCACACTATTGATAAGGGTGGGAATGCAAAGCAGGGCCCACCTCTCTGGGGCCTTATTGGACGTCAGTCTGGAACCTGTGATGGCTTCGCGTACTCGGAAGCGAACAAGAATGCAGCAATCATGTGGTCGGACAAGCACCTCTTCGAGTACCTCCTGAACCCCAAGAAGTACATTCCTGGAACGAAGATGGTCTTTGCAGGCATCAAGAAGGAGAAGGAGCGTGCGGACCTGATTGCCTACATGATGGAGATGAAGTGAAGAAGGCCCTTGACTGAGCAACTCAATTTTCAAGCCTGATTCATTCCTTGGGTTCCTGTTCTCGTCATATGCCGCGCTGTCGCGAGCGTACGGGTTTCCTGACAGGTGCCGACCCACCAAGCGTACAGGAAAAAACGTGCATTGCAAAAACTCAGTGTGAACGGATTGTCATGCGTAGTTCGATAGCCAGTGTGGTGCATGCCAAGTAATTACGCACGCACTCTGTCGATGCTCTGCTGCCCAAGCGACAGCCGGTAGGCCCTTCAAGTAATCTGGTCAAAACACAACCTTTGCTGCAATGCCCGTGCCTGAGCCTGACGTCGCGGTCCCAGATGGCGACAGCAAGAAGGGCGCGAAGCTCTTTAAGGCCAAGTGTGCTCAGTGCCACACTATTGATAAGGGTGGGAATGCAAAGCAGGGCCCACCTCTCTGGGGCCTTATTGGACGTCAGTCTGGAACCTGTGATGGCTTCGCGTACTCGGAAGCGAACAAGAATGCAGCAATCATGTGGTCGGACAAGCACCTCTTCGAGTACCTCCTGAACCCCAAGAAGTACATTCCTGGAACGAAGATGGTCTTTGCAGGCATCAAGAAGGAGAAGGAGCGTGCGGACCTGATTGCCTACATGATGGAGATGAAGTGAAGACTTTCCCCGGCATCTTGATTTTAAGGGTTTTCTCCTTTCTTACTAGCGAAAGCCTCAGCAGGGCTTAGCGGTAAGATTCTGTGAAGGAGAGTGCCTGCAAGCGCGAAGCAAACAAGCGATATCGACGTTTGGTGCGGGAGTTTGAAAGCTCCGTGGCAGCTGCCTTCACCTCTTGGTGTGTAGACGAACCTTCGCTCTTCTCCAGGCTCACATGTCGAAGGCACCGAAATGTGTGGTCAAAGCAACTCAGCAAGCCCTGCGAGAAACGGATTTCTCATGCGTGCATCATCGCTTCGTTAGAGGCCAAACATTTGGGATTGAGCCATGGATATACTGCCACGCACGGTGAGGCATCGGCTTTCGGTGTCTTCTCCAGTACCAGCAATTCGAAGCGTGCTGGAAACAATCAACAGCTCGCCAAGTCTAGTCAATTGTTTACCTGAATGGTCAAGAGCTGCTTAACAGTAGAGAACTTAGAAGGAACAGAGCCTTACAACAAAGAATTGGAGTGCTTGCTCGGGTGACTTTGGTGGCTTGCTCAAGACCACGCTTCACAGGGCTGAGCACTCTCTGCAGCTTGGATGGCCTCGCGCATCTTGGATTTAGATTACACTATACGCTGGTAATCCAATGTGTGTGCCCGATGCCTGCAAATTGTGATTCGATGCCGCATCACCTAAGGCGCCAGGGCGTGGCGCTGTGGACACCAGAGCGCAGTCCAAGTGTTCAGGAACTGCACACGCACATAATCGCACATATAAACGACGTGTTGGGCACTTCTCGCACTTCAATTTGATTGTCTTCTCCACGTGGTCTGACAGGTTCTGTGCATGCTGCGTCAGTCTGCCTGGCGGCTGCCAGCTGCCTTGCAATGGTCATCACCCCAAAAACCGGCAAGCATGGTGTGGCATGGGTGCAGCATTGCTGCATCTTGCGTCGGGTAGGGAACTGGCTTTTCAGGCCAGGGTGAGCGAGCGCCGGCTCCGTGTGGCTCGGCTCTCCAGCATCATGGCCGCACTGCTTTGTGCGCATGCGCGCTGCGTCGCCGGGCTCGGGAATCCTGACGCAAGGTCATGCTTGTAACTTTGCTGGAGGGAGAAGTGATGGACATGATTCGAAGGGCGCGTGACTGAGCCGTTCCAGTTTGGGTGCAGAGGTCACGTATTATATATAGCATGTCCATCTTGTCCTCGCCCTGGATGTGAGGCTCGCAGGAGAGGCTTGCAGATCTGGCAGGAAGCCTAGCCAGTTGTGGCTGCATTGCTTGGCTGCCCTCATTTGGCTTCCTCTGCAGTTTCTGCAACTTCCACTCCGCGATGCTGTCTTGGTGTCGGGCGTGTTGGCACGAGACCAGTCCAAGGTGCAATCGTGCTAGGATGGATCTGGCAAGAGCTTGCTTGTAGTCGGTACAACTGCTGCTTTCCGTCCCGCCTTCTCACAAGGGATGGCGCAGGTTCGAATGCTGCCGCCGCCGCCACATTCTTCAATGCCTCGCTTGGCCATCGTACCAGTTGTGGAGCTGTCCTGTTTTTTGTCACGTCAACCTGCGCGGCACTTACCGGCCACCTGGAGCCAGGACGGCAAGGATGCTTCCTGTGTTCCATTTCACGATCGGGAGGATGCAGAAAGCCTGGAAACACTCAGGCTTGGTCCTCGGTCCTTTGGTGCTTTGGGCACCTAGACCTAGACTGAGCAGACGTGAGGCGATTGTCACCTGGGCCGCTGCAGCCTGTGACAGCTCCCGGGAAGGCTCTAATGTGCTTCTGGCAGCAGGCGCCGCAGGCCCCACATGCTTTTTGAGCATCCAGCTCCGAGTCCATGCGGCCTGAAATCATACTGACATGTTTTTGGACGTTGGGCAGCGATGGGGAAGGACTTCGAAGCGCACTGCAAGTATGAGCACATGCGGGCCGCTTGTGGTGGCCAGAAGCTCAGGCTTAGAGAGTACAGAGCAGTCAACAATGGATTTGCCCGTCCAGGAATGCAGTCCTTGGAGGAGCAGGCCAGCCTCGCTCTGCCTCGCTCTGCCAAATACGGGTAGTGCAGCTCGCACGGATGTGCAGGCCGAGACGCTCCTGCTAAATGTCTATCTACGCTTTTGCCAGCAGACAAGTGCACCCCCAAGGCTCGAAGGAGGGTAGCAATTGTCGAATCACGATCACATGCTTCATCTCATCATGCAGGCCTTCATCAGAAGATGAGACGGATTATGACTTGTGCGCCGATCCGCTGCGCCAAAACGGTTTCAGGGCGTGACGTTGCATCAGAGGTACATATCAGTTTTTCAAGATGCTCCAATGAAGGCGCGTTAGAACCCCACATGATGCTAGATGTGGTGAAGTTGCTCTCATGACCAGCTTGACTCCTAGGTCGTGCCCTCTCGCTTGGCATGTGGATTTGCCAAGCACCTGTCATCTGGTAGGCCCTGCACCAGACGTGCAGCTCCGACTTCTGCATGATTGCAGAGGCCGCGACTTGATCCTGTCCGTGTCAACCTGTGCTACCTTTTGTATTGTGCCAGTCACCGAATGCTTGTCCTGATTCTGTGTAAGTAGCCCGAATTACTTGTTGGGAGACACATGTGCGCATCAGAATGTTCGACTGCAGCAAATGACACTGTATTTGCTTGCAATCTTTCGTCATTTTGTTTCGCTCCTCAGCTTGCTTTTCCTTCTAGCCATGTCAGGCACAGCGGCGTCTGTTGTTGCCAAGGGAAGGGGGGGGGTGTCATTTCTTGAGGATGAGACCGTCACCAGGCCTCGCAAGAAGCCTAGCTACTGGGGTTTCGTGCTGCAGTAATGCAGCTCGGCGCCAGTGGGCTTTGACCAAGGGCTAAAACCAAGGCCTATCGCAATGGCCCTGGCAGAGATCTTTTCCAGGGTGTGGACTCGGGCAAGATTGCGGGGCTCAGGTGGGGCAGTCTGCGCTCCGGCCAGCACCTTCTCTCGTCCAAGTGCCCGCCCTCATGTGGGCACAGATGGGACCACGTCGCAGGAACTCCAATAGCGATGACAGTTTCGCATTTGACAAGCTGAGACGTCCAAAGACGACGACAGTTTCGCTTTTCGGAGCTCACATCCAAAAGTGACGACGGTTCCGCATTTGGTGAGCCCACACGTCCAAGTGCGACGACCGTTTCGAATTTCGCGGGCCCAGACGTCCAAAAGAGACAACAGTTTCGCATTTCGCAAGACAAGAAGTCCAAAAGCAAAATTTTGCGAGCCCAGAAGCCCACAATCAGCGATAGCTATTTCGAAGACGGCGAGCGCGCCCACGCCCGTCCCGCGCACGAAAGCACGATTTGCATCCAAAATGAGCAGCCCTCGAAAAAGCTCGCGGTCCGCAGCGGGCGCGCCGAGCTGGCCCCTCTTGCTCTTCACGCTGAAACCCCTTAGTGTTGACACGCTGTTTCGGAATATGGTGTATATATACATACACATGTGTATATATATATATATATATATATGTATATGCATATATATATATACACATATGTGCACTGTGCACAGACACACATTTCGTCAAATATACAAATCGTTTGGAGAATGAACCGTGTGATGCCATAACAGGAGCAACATGCTGGACTGCAAAGCTGACGTGCTTCGCCGAAGCTTTTGTTGAACGTGTGCTTTGCAGGCACACGTGCTAGGTTTGGCCAGCACGGCCGGCTTTCCGAGGTGGACATGACTCGAAGCGCAGTTTCCAATCGCGTGACATGTCTTGGCGATGGTTGGTCAGGTTGGTGCAGAAGGACGCCCGGGCGATGTATTCAAGTGCCGCAGCCTGACTGTTTTGTGACTGGAATGTCCAACAAAATCGTGTGAAGCTAGTAAGGATGGACACCTCTTGCGAACGTGTCCGTGTGCAGTGAGAGCAGACTTGGCCTTGGGCCTTCAGGCCATGCGCTTTGGCTACGCTGTTCGGCAGGCCGAAATTCGATTCAAGGCTCGCGGGCATCCAGCAACCCTCTCGTGCAGAGCATGGGTGTGAGATCCCACTTAAGCGGAATCCTTTGGCAAGGCGGACGGTGCTGCAGGAACCTTCGTACCTCTGCCACTTGAAGCTGAAATGGTTCGGGAGGAGCATTGCAGTGGTATGCCTAGGCGCATCTCGCCGTCAATCGTGTTTACATCCTGCACGTCAGGAGCTCGAACATCTGTGGTCGAAGCCGGCGGTACCAGGCTGGGTTGAGTGCCGTTTCTTGCGTTCAGGCCTTTGGGGCAGCCAGTCCACACTCTCAGGTGAAAGGGGCTCGTCAAGCGGAAGCTCCTCTTGTCAGGTACCTGCTCATAGTTAATTATTTGGATTGTCGATGGTTTGTTGGCGGAAGCTGGCAAAGGATGAGCTAACGCCCAGCCGCTACCTCGGCTACTTTCAGTGACAAGAAAGAGCGTGGAGCGTGCACCCAAGTTGCAGCACTTCGTGCGGGGATTGCAGCCTTGCAGGCGATGCAGAAGCAGCACATCAAAGCCTGCAAGAGGCGACTCGGCTGTGAACCAATCCGAGATTCGACGAATGTCAGGATGTCAAAAATGCAGCTGAACAACAACTCTCACGGAGAAGTGAAGTTGTAGATGCTTGTAAAACCCGCAACAAGGTTTTCGGCCGATTGAGGCGGATCGGGGAGACGAAACCCGCACTTGCCACGTGAGCCCAGCTTTGACAGATTCTGACAGACCATTGTCCTTTTAATTTGCACATTCGCTTCTCATGTTTGCATATTTATGCAGTGGCAGGTACCTTGGTTGGCTCGGAAAATTCGATCCGGAGGTCACTCCCCGTCACTCCCCGTCACTCCCCGTTACCCCCTGTGACCTGTCAACAAGACCAGAGAGTTGAGTTGACCATGCTATGCTTTGTGGTCGTTGTTGTATCCGCAGGCCCTGTCTATGCTGTCAAACCCTACACCTGCTATCGCCATCGCAATGAAATGCCAGGCGCGCACGTTAATTCTGGATGCCCGCCGCAAGCATTGGGACGTACGTTGCGGCAGGTCGATGCCGTGTGGGGCAAAGCACAAAAGGCTGCTACTTGTAGTTGGCAGGAGTGCTCGTTCTCCTCCAGGGTGGCTAGAATGCTGCATAATGCTGCAAAAGGGCCCCCAATTTGCTTGCATGCAGGCAGAGGGCGCTACTGTTACGACAACTCCGTCGGACATGCTGGAGGCGGACCCCCTCAGCTATGCATAGGACATCTATTTACAGGACTTCATGGGACGGCAAAGGCCTGCTTGATTGAAGTGATACATCCTAGCTTGTGAGGCCATCCTCCTGGGCGCTTGGCTTCGTGACTGCGATGCTGATGTTCGTGACACGCGCTCGAGGCCGGGATGATCTTGAATTGTCTTCGCTGACGCTTGCCACGCATCGCCCGCACTTGTCTTGTCAGGCTTCAGGCTGGCGAGCAATAAGGCAGGATTCGGCCATGATCACCCGTTGATCTTCTGATGCTCGATGGCACTGATTCGCACCGCTGCTTCGTTGGCTTCCCCTGATCTGCCAGGTTTCCTGAAAGCTTCCGGAGCTTCCGGGTAGTGAAGGCAAGGGTTCGCGTAGAGCTCGCGGGGAGAGCTGTTGGCTTGCCGCCAGCAGCTCTGTGCCTAAAACCAGACGTAAGATTTCGCCTGGTTTGTACAAAGTTCCAAATTAGCTTCACATATACATGTATTTTCCGTGCACTTCGTGTGGTAATGCTCACATCAAGGCTGTACAGACATGCTACACCAAGCCTCGAATTCGAAGGAGGGTCTGGAAATTCTCAGTTTTTGCCCCGAAGGTAGCACCAGTACATGCTGGACTTGGAAAGTGCGAGACGGGATATTTCCAAACCTCCGCTGTGCACTTGGTGCGGCTGTGGTCATCTGATGTTCTTATATTATCTGAAGGTCTTGGAGTGTGTGGCTTAGGACTTAGAGAGTAAGCACATTTGGAACGACCACAGCCGAAGCAATTGTCTAAGATTTCAACTTCTCAGGTCCTTGCGTATAGAGAAACGTACAATGTTCGGATCGGCACATGTGGGATCCGCTGGCTAAGTATTTGATCCATTGTCGTCCTCAATGTCATGAGCAGCATCGCGGTCTTGTCGTGGCCATTGCTCGTCAGCTGACGAGCCGAGCCTTGTGATTTCTGCCAGCCGTAGCAAGTTGCGGCATCCTCTTCCAGATGGCCGCTGTTGCCGTGCGACGCCCGCAGGACTTCCCCGAGGCCTTTTCCTGGTAGCCATCCGCATCCATCTGCAGCCGAAGCAAAGCAGATGCCCAAACAGAGTGCAGGCAGGCCGGTTATCTGGCCTGAAGTCATGTGCGGTTCTCAGCAAAGTGACGGATGACTTCGGGTAGAATCCCCTGCAAGACACAAGGTGCGGCCAGCTGCAGCCAAGGACGCATGCGCAGGCCGCGACAGGTCCGACTGGGATGTCGGAAGGAAGAGATTTAGTGAACGGCCAGCTAGTTCAGCACGGGTCAGGTTGCTCCTGCCGGCTGGACAATGTGTGAATGTGAGGCAGACAAGGCATCTTGCCTACAGAAAGGTGATGCTTACGCTATCTTGGACTGAAAGCTTCGCTTTGACAGGAGTGGGTTCTTTGCGACCGAGTTGAAGCTATGGCGGCACCTTGACAGTGGATGTGCAAGACACACGATATCAGCTTTTGGCCCTTGTGTTCGAGCCTTCCAGGCACCTGCGCCCTGAGACTTACCTCGGTACGTAGCATGGTACGTAGCAAATCCAATCCGGTAGTAGGGTTCATGGGTGTCTGAGCACGTGGACAGGTTTTTGTCCGTCCCTAGAAAGTCGAAGTGAAGCACAGTGAGGCCGAGATGGCCGAGACCTTGCAAAAGCACCTCCGAGACACGAAGGCACAACAGACATCATCCAATCGCAATGCCGTGGCAAACAGGTGATGTCAGAGTGATGTAAGAATGACCCTTAAAATGCAGGACATGGACACAAGCTGTACTCAGGCGCGCCGGCAGTTAATCGGCCACGGCTGTATCTGTGCTGCACCACTCGTGCATGAGGTTCCTGAGAAGGATCGTGTCTCCGATGTTGCCATGAAGAAGGTGTTCGGTCTTGGGAGTCTTTTCGACAGCGGTTTTATGATGTTTTTGTCTGTGCTCCAACTCCAGATGGCATTGGCTAGCTGTGCGGACGCGCAATTCGAAGCAGAAGTGGGCATGGCCATGGCCCTGTCCTCTTCATAATAGATACTGCTACGCAATGCTGTTGGGGAGGACTTTGTGGCTCTCTTGCTGTGAACTCAGGAGGAGGATGATGCAAGTGAAGCCCAGGATGCCTCTGAAATGGAGGCACTGGAGGCCCTGTGTGCCGTTGAGTCGTTGAGTCGATGGGGCCACGTGTGCAGTCCATAAAACGTCCTGGGGCTCATCCTTTGGGACTTCGAGGGTGTGGCCGAGAGTAACTGCCCTGTCATCAGGAACCTTCGACGGAGACAAAGCTTCAAACGAAGTGCTCTGATGCAAAAGGTACGAAGGTCTGGCATGTCACCTTCTCACGTATCCTAGTTCCTTGGAATAGTTACCTTCAAAAGCAACTTCTTCCAGGAAGATCTCCGTGCGGCCAAGAAAACCCGTGTTCTGACCTGAGAGATGAGCACTCCCTGCACGCATCGCTGGCAACACTGAAGGAACCATGAGAGAGTAGTTGCAAAGCAACACTCTATCAGGAGCTATCGATGGAAGTTGGTTCACAAACTCCCCCCACACACGCTCGCTTTGGATCCCTCATCGTTTGCTGAGGAGGGGGAGGGAGAGGAGCAGGAAGAAAATCAGAACCAAACACACTTGAGGTTTAGGGCGAGGCTTTTAAGGGAACCAAACACACGAACATGGCTTGAGGTTTAATAATGACTTTTTCGAGGGCTCTCCGATTGACTTTTTCCTCTGGAAGTGCTCAGTGAGCTCTCTCTCTCTCTCTCCCTCTCTCTCTCTCTCTGTCTTGTGATGTGGGCTTTATGCTTTCTGTTTCCAACACTCGCTTGTGTGATGTCTAATTGAAAATGAAAGACCTTTAGGCCGAGAGGAAAGCCGCCTGGAGAGCCTCCCAGAAGGCTTTGGAGGCGCACTCAGCTCTGTTCCAAGTTACCCACAGTTACCTGCACCCCTCCGGTTTAGGGCGATGGGCACAAGGTCGCAAGCTCGGCTCCACTTGTGAGAGACCTGCAGCGAGCGTGTGGGAGTTGCACCGTGTTGCACCCAGGAGGTGGAAGAGAGCCTGAACGGCAAAGCGTGCGCCTGCCAGACGGGGTCATTTTTTGGCACTATGTTGTGCATTGTGATCTTTGTGAGCTTCTTCGTCTTCTCCTCCGTGTGCTACGTGCTTAGCTGCTAAGCCTACGTCCTCAGCTCCTGGGCATATCTTGATTAGGCGTGGTAAAGCACGGCGAAGCCGCAGGGACCAGTGAGAGTACAAGGCGGGAGGCCCAAGAATATTGCAGTCATCGTAGCTGCATCTGTCTGCATTCCACACTGTTCTGTCGCTCAGGTCTTTTCAGCTACGGGTCGTGCCCTGCCTGTGAGGGCAGCATATCTTCCGAATTTTAAAGAATGTTTTGTGCGGGGTTACCCGCGTCACTGTGTTGACTTGGGTCCGAGTCTTTTGTAGTTCCTCTGTCTGTCAACAACACCTTTTTTTTACCTGAGTCAACACCAATCTTCAATGGGTTCATTCTGCAGGGTGCTCTGGCAATGACGATGCAGCACACATCCATCCCCGTAGCCGCCATAGCCGCCGTAGCCAGGCTGTTGGGTTTTTCAAGCCTAGAGGAGCCCTGCAATGTGGATAGCACAGTGCTTGCGAAGAGCTGGACTTTGGACTATGAGACGAAGTCCGCCCGCATGTCAGGGCTAGTGCCCCAGACCTCTCACTTCACTCGAACGGCTGTGTCTCAAAGCAACTAACACTTACATGGCATCTTCTGGTTAAGGTCTACCTTGCTGAGAGTGAAGCACTGAGCTGGCAGTCTCGCGTGTTCAATGCTCTAATTCAGAAGCCTGTCTGCCATTTCTGCACTTTCAGTTGAGGTCAAAGAGGCCGCGAAGGTTTCGTGCTCAGGCTTTGGTGAGCCATGCCACATGACATGAGTCACAGGTGCCCACTTGTTCCGCAACACTTTAGTGGGGCCAAGGCCGGACCTCTCCAGCCTATGCATGTGCAAGGACTGCAGGACTGCCGGCGTCTCAGAAAAGCGCAGCGAAAAGCGACGAGCAGAGAGGGGGGGGGGCTTGGCCATGGTGCGCTTGGCCGAGGCTCAAGCAGCTGATCTACACTGAGACCAGAATCCGCCAAAAAAAGAACGGCTTGCCAGACTTGACACATTGCCCTTACAAGCCACCATCTTTGCCACGAGCCTCGGGGTAAGAGAAGCCAATCGACATGGGGCTCTGAATGGCTTGCAGCTTAATCATGAGCTGTGACTGAGACTCCAACCTGAGCAGTGAGTACATTTTCTGTTTGTTTGTGTGATGTTTTGCGCTCCACCTGCCTTCACTTCCTGTGATTGAAGAACTTCATCAGAGACAAGCTTGCGAGGGTGTTGTGTGGTTACAGTCTAGTCGTAGTGCGGTCTTGACCTGGGACTCCTGAAATGCAAGAATCCAGAACAGGTCATCCCCGAAGGAACAAATTGGGAGGTCAGGGGCTGCAGTTCAAAGACCCACAGCATGGAACAGCGAGCACAGTGGCGCTGGATGCACAGACCTGCAATCGATTGACGCCGCCCATGGCTCGAGCGCTTTTCAGATATTTGTATGCCTAGATGGTAGGTCCAGCATTCCAAGTGGGCCACAGCAGAATGTCTCAAAGTGAATGAGAAGGCAGATTCCGGATTATTCTGGTAAGAGTGCTAAGAGGTTTTGTGTTCGGCCGTGGCTTCAACTGGGGACGGAGCTCCATGGCTGCTCGGCTTGCAGATGTTTGTGCATTTGATCCGGGACGTTGGTGTCTTAAGCGTTGAGGCCGACCTGATCCAGATGATGGAGTCGGGTTCTTCATATCCAGGCTCCGTTGCTTCCGGATGCCTCTTTTGAATTTTGGGGCGCTCGAGACGCCTGTTTCCGATCAGGTTGGACTAAGCAAAAATACGACCAGTGTGCCACTGGACTGCTCAGGCAAGTGTGGATTCAATACCATTGTCGACATGAAAGTGGTCTGGATATGTATACTGTCTTGTGAGTTTGACATGATCGTGCTCCACAATATCTTGGGGAAACTGGTTTTGGGATCCTTCAGTGTGCCGATCAAACTCAGAGGAGTCAAGCCAATCGGCAGGATGCCGACTACTTTGACGTACGTGCACACGCCGCAGAAGCTTTCTTACAGCCAGGCAGCCAGCCCATTCCAGCCCTAATCTGTGTTTACCTCCATGAGTGTGCAGGCTTTGCGGGTGGAGCAGGAGGAGCCTACCCTTGTAACGCCACCGAAAGGCTAGCGGCTAGCCCACAATGCTTTGCTGCACAGTTTGTTCAACTTGATATGTCTCTTGGCACGGCAAGACTTTCGCATGCTCCGCCAGACCAGTGGCAACATCGCCAGCGGCAGATGCCCGCACAGGCCTCCGAGTGCACTCTCTGCTTCTTCTCTTCCCTGGCACCTCAAACTTTCTTCATTCTGCTTGGCCCGAGGACGAGCAGATGAGGTGCGCATGGCCCCCTGAAGAAATTCTCCACCTACACAGCTTACGCAAGCACAAACCTACTCTTCTGTCTCCCTCTCCGTGATTGTTCTTGATCGACGCCTGTCGGCACAACGTAGCGCAGCACGCTGCTGGTGGGACTCTGGCGAGGCATCACCCGAGAAGTTTGCTTCAGATGCCTGGAGACGGAAAAGTTCCAACAGCAAGGCTGCTCTTCCTGGTGTTGGTTTTGGGCCTGTATTGTCTTGCATCATGATCATGAGTGTTGTCATCCATTGCAGGCAGGCACACAAGTCATTCACTCGCAACCAAGTTGAGGAGATTCGACTCCGGCTTTCATATCTCTGTGCAACCTGTGCAACCTTCGCAACCTCTCGTGTTGCAATGGTACACTCACGCGGCTTCCTTGACAGAGGAGGCCCTTCGGGATGTTCGCATTCTCTCGCCTGGTGGTGATGCCTGCTGTCCTGGCTCTGTATGTTCTCGACCAGAGAGTCGCGAGAGTTGGCGCTCCATGTGCCACATGTATGCCGTCCTGAGGCCACGGCTTGGTCCTGGAAGGTGCCTTAACTGGAGTTTCTCAGAGCATCTCAGAGCATCTCAGAGCATCTCAGAGCATCTCAGAGCCTCTCAGATCTGGAATGTGTTCTGTGCAATTCAGGAGCTACCTGAGCAAGTGCGCAACGCCTTGCGTTTCTTGCGAGGGCTGTCAGCCCTCCCCCACAGTATTGGGACCAGGCCACAGGGTCTCGAAGTTTGCTCGCACCGACTCGCACCGGTTCTGCTTCTCAGGCCGTTTCTGCCAGCCACTTGGCCAGAAGCCAAGCCTACATTGGTTTTGGACTTGGACGAGACCCTGGTAGTGCCCTCAGCAATGTTGCAAGAGTCAGATGAAGCCAAACAGGTCCTGTCACTTTAGCGGATCTGCTTGTGATTTACTGACTGGTGGGCTGAGGTTCACTGTTGTCGTGGTTCTTCTCCTATTGGCTTGACTAGAGCACCTGACCTGCTGGTGGAGGTTACGCCAGTGCTCTCATGTTTGCAGAGTATGCTTCTTGAGTGCCACCTGTTTCAGTTCGACGATGCTGCTGGTACTGGGCGTGTTTATTTCCGACCTTTTGCGCAGATCTTTCTCGAGGTTCGCTGTGGCATGGCTTTGACTGAGAAGGTTTCGTATGGTCGCGTGACTCGCAGGGAGGGCACCGGAATCATTATGTTGCTGTACATGAAAGTTGTCTCGGGTGCGCTGCTAAAATTTCGCACGGAGCATTCGTGGCTTTTGGTCATGAGTGGTGACGCAATGCTGCTTGTAAGCGACTAGGGCGAGACAGGAGTCATCAGAGTCTCTCAGAGCTGAGTTGTGGCAGCCATGGCAGGTGATCTCGAGGTTCTTCGAGGTCGTGGTCTTCACGGCCTCCCAGCAATCCTACGCAGACCAGGCCAGACAGGAACACACGCACACACATACGTCTCCAAAGCTCTCTGTAGCTCTTTAAGCAGAGCTGCTTCGAGAGGTCGTCGATGCTCTGGACCCACGGCGTGTTTTCGTCTCGCATCGGCTCTACCGGCAGCATTGTACGGACTGTTGGAGGGGGGGAAGGAGAGGTGTTGGAGAAGATTGGAGAAGTGCGTGTCGCAGCATGTCAGAGATACTGCCATCCTGAAGGGAAGAGTGATAAGAAGTGGCAAGTACAGTCGTCAGCTCACCTGCAGGAGTTTCATGGCGCCTTCTTTAAGGAGCTGGGCCTGCTTGGCAGATCGCTGTCCAAGGCCGGAGGGCATCCTACGTCTTTCCCCGGGTCGAAGCTGTGGACTTCTCGCCAGTGCGTGCTGATCGACAACTCACCTGTGTCGGTTGTATGCAACACCGAGAACAGCGCACAAAGCTTAGCGATGCTTCAAGCCCAGAGGACCCCGACGCCCTCCAAATTGAAGATGTTAGGTCTTGATTCGCAGTTGGTACGGTGACATGGCAGACCAGGACACATCTGTGCCGACCAGTGCATGAAGACGCGCTGTACACTGTACATCTTTGCTGTTTGTGCCTGCTTGAACTGTTATTTTGCCTGTCCTTGAGGAGCTCCTGGCCCTTCGAGAAGTGCTGGAGGTCCGCTCAGCTTCCGGGAGTCTTGAAGGTGCAGCTTGAAAGGTTCGATTGGTGTGTGCCAGGACATGCGACATTCCTTAACTCGAGGATCGGTCGCCCTTTGCGTTTTCGAGATCATTTGCTGCTGCATTCCTGGTGTATTCCTGGTGTATTGCGGTGTGTGCCTTTGTTTGTGTTGTTTGCCCTGCTCGCCAGGCATTGGCTTTGACAGGCGGGCGAGTACAACGCAAGATCTGCGTGACACGCAGAGCTCAGTCGCAATGGCCTGTGGTTGCCGATCTCGGAAGGTATTTATCAAAGCCTCAAGCCCTCCACGACTTTCTGCAGGTCCTCAAGTGGCAGTGGCTACTGATGGGTGTTGAAGGGTATTGATATTGCCAGAGCTGCAGGTGCCCTTGGCGGTGCCGCTGGATTCCTTCGACTGGCATGGCCATTCGGGTCCAGGACGAAGTCTCGTGTCCTCTTGTATTCAAGGTAAGAGCAGTGTAGAAGTGCAGGAGACTCCATACCAGTGAAAGGCCGCTGTGAAGGAGTAGTATCCTGAAATTAGTTTTTTAGTGAATCTCAGATGAACCTTCTGAGAATCTGTGGCGCCTGCACTTGTGTTCAGCCTGAGAGTTGGGACCGGGACTGAGCTGTGAAACCACAGCCATGCAACAATGGGACTGTTGCACAATAAAGCTTGCGCCTGCTTGCACCTGATGCCGGTCGTACCTACAGTGACCTACAGTAGATATCTAGATTATCTAGTGCTCCCCTTATTCACGCTACTGAGGGATCAGTACCAGAGTTGCGATGCGTTGCCGGCAGCCAACGGCTCAAGCTCTGTCCCGAAGCTCCGACAGCCTCAGGCCAATCCTACGACATGTGAAGGATTAGGGTTAGGACGGTTTCAACGGCTGGGTTTGCTCATCGCTTCTTGACATGAGGATGGGTCAGGCGGCCTGCGCTGAATCCATTTGCCAGACCGTGCCGACCTCAATGTCCGGAGCAGAGCAGCATGTGCTGCAAGCATCATGCGGGTTCCGCGACACTCGTCCCCGCTTTTGGTGTCGTTTCTCGCCTGAAGGGCGGACAGCCGAAAGCCATCGCAGAAGAGGAGGTTACATACTGCCAGAGCGATCGTGACAGCAAGCAGCTAGACAAGGCCCACGCTGTTCTGATGCTCAGCACTGACTGTAGGGCACTGCTTAAAGTCTTGGCAGGTTGCACTTCCAAGGCTGTTGGGAGCAAAGGAAGATTCGGGCAGAAGTGTTGGGGCCTTAGCCTCACCCTGTTATTCTGCCAGCCGGAAGCGCACAGTGTGATGAGTTTCTTCCGTTCCAAGGGTGACAAGTCATCACCGCTGAAGGAGAGTTGCAGTCAAGATTGGTTAGTGCTTTCATCGGGCTGACCTGTGGGGGTGCAAATCGTTGATCATCTTCAAGTCTCGAGGAGGATGAAGTTCTGGGAGGCATTGATCTCGACGCCGAGGTTGAAGCCATGTTCTTGGATGCAGTTGGGTTATTGAAGTTATTGAAAACGTGGGAAAGAACTAGTAGCACACCGGATCACCGTAGCCGAGGCAGCTTCCAGTCTCCTTGCAGAGATGCCGACTGCAGATCCTTTAGATGCAGGTGGGACTTGTGTGGGCTTGCTGTAGGCTGAGATAATGCATCCGGAGAGGCCACCAGCACAGCAAGGACAGCAAGGCACGTGTTTCTATGGCAGGTCAGGGATGCAAACATTTCTGAATCTATGAAACATGCGCGCCTTAGGCCCTGCGAAAGTTGGAGAGGCCTGACATGCACATAAGATGGCAAACGATTGCATCGCATCGCTGTGTGCAGCCGAAACGCCGCTCCTCACAGGGCCGAAGCCCGAAAGCAAGTACTGCCATTTCTACTGTTCACCTGCCACGCTTGAACATGCCATGCTGCAAGTTGGCAAGGGATACGCACCCTTTTCTCAGCTTTCTCCTGGCGTCTCGCTTGAGGCAGAATGGCTTTCACACTGTGAAGTCAAAGAAGACGTTCTTCTGGAGGCACTATGGGGGTCAAGCTTCCATTGTTCTCTGCGACAGTGCAATGCTTCCCTTGGCTGCCTGAAGGTCATGGTATCCTCTACACGCCGCTGTGAAATACAATGACTTGGAAACCGTAAGGCTTTTGATCACTGCAGGCGTTGCTGATTCCTTGTGCTTCTTTTCACGAATCCGTGCACACCGATGCGTAATCCTACCTTTGGGAGGGCTTGCTTTCCAGGTGCAGATCTGCAGAAGCTGAACTCCAGGGGCGAGACGCCAATGCCTCAAAACAGGGCGGCCTTGTTCAAGTCTTGGTCAGTGAGACGACTGCCATACAGCCACAACCAGCCCCTCAGCGCATGGTGCTGGTAGGATGCTAGATGATGCAAGTGCTGCATGTGAGACGCGGGACTACACGTCACGAGTCCTGCCAGGCCTGAGCAGCTTGCAGAGCGCTAGTGGCTCAGACTAGTGCACGATTCAGCAAGCGCGTGGTTGACTTGGGAAGGCCAGTCGGAACACCGCTTGCTGCGTCTGATGTCTTGCCAGGTTTGAACCGATCAGGTTCCCACGCTGACATTCTTCAAGCCCTGCATCACGCAAAGGTCATTGGCTCGGCTTCAGGAAAGAGGGCTGGATTCGCTTTTTGGATGTGAGGAATCATTCTGTGAACAGCCAGGGGAAGAAGAAGTCATCCATGAAGGCCTGTCAAAGTTGCGATAGACCAGGACACTAAGAGGTGTTACTTCTCGCAGTGAGTGGATTGTTGGAGTCAGGCGAAGTCCAGCACAGCATCGTCCCTGGAGTTTACACCCCGAGGTGGCCGTCATGCAATCATACAGGTGATGGTTTGCTGCCACCCCGATGTGGTAATGTGGCTAACACTTGGCGAGCTGGAGAATTGTGCCAAGCGCTGCTGGGAATGATCGGCAGGCGTATGAGACGAGCCGAGCCCGAGACTTGCAAAGCCAAGCACACGGAATTCGTTTGAGTCTTGCCGTTTCCAGCACCACCGCAAGACTCACAATAGTAGTTTGCAAGACTTTCAGGAGTTCGCTCTGTTTCAGTGTGACAATATGACAAAAGAAGGCGGTACACAGTCATCTTCAGCATGAATTACATGCACAGCCCGGCCGGGACTCACCTGTCTGGCCATACAGCCACGGTCAGTGTGGAGCAGACCCTCCGGAGAACCTCCGGAGTCTCTTGCACCAAGCTTCCAACTGCGAAGGGCCAAAAGCCGCCACGAGTTTGACTCGCAGGTGTGGCAGTGTGGCAGTGTGGCACTTCTCTGTACTATTCCGTGCCGTTGGAGTTTGGATTGGGCCACGCCTCCGCCATCGAACATCGGAGCCAGGTAGGAATTGTGTTTAAATGGTATGATCTAAAGGCTTCAGACCCGCATGGAACAGATGGGTATCCAACGTACGTGCCCCAAGGTTTGGCGTCCACCCATGGCCACCTTATCGATATTAACCAGCCAACTGCTCTGTAAAGTCTGCGCTGGTGTCGATTTAAATGCGGTTGCGGGCTGTCCTAGCATGCGCTGCTGGATGCTTGGTTCCTTGTCAGACACGCAATCGACTTGCCCTCCGAAGAAAGCTGAGGACCTCCATGATGTATACCGTCAATGCCAGTAGAGGCCACGCCGGCTCTTTTTGGGTAACTGCGCACCAGATGCCCAATGATGCCCGCTGGAAAGGAACGCGCTTTCACGGGGTGCCACCCCGCGGAGCGCAGATTTGCCGACTCCCCGCTCAGTACAGCCAGGAGGCCTTCGGCGGGTTTTGCGTGTTGTGCAGCTTGTGCACAGGGTCCTTGTGAGTGCAGGCTAGTGACGAAGATGATGACTTTGACTGTGCAGCACCTACCCTGCCATGAATGCAAACCTAGCTTGTCATGCTAGCAAGCTGTCGTTGGCCACACAAAGCCACCGAGGGCCGGCTCAGTCAGAAGCATCCGATTCATCCTCGAGGCACATGTCGTCATACTCCGGAGTCGGCGTGAGTGACACGCATGAACTGTGCATTGCATGTGAGCGCTTTCCCCTTTGCTCACAGTGCGAACGACTTCGGCCTGAACCAGCCAGATGCGCTGTCAGAGGCCAGGGGATCAGTGAAAAGGATCCATCCGGTCCATATATTTACTGCCTCTTCACAGGTTGATTCGGCTTCGGCCTCTGCTGGAAGCCCTTCTGTCAGGCCATGTGTGAATCGAGTGTGCTGAGTCGAGAATTCACTGAACAAGTCATGCAGCTGTCCTGCTCAGTCGGCATAGCTCCGCCTACGAGTTGCCGAGATTCGGTCGGCACCTTTCCTGTTCTTCAAGATGCAGCTTGGTGTACCGATTCAGACACAACAGGCCTAGCAGACTCTGATCTCTCAGAGACTGACTTTCTGGGTGTCGGTGAGGCAGTGAAATCTGACGTGTGGGCAAGTTCTCTGCGGTGTTTGAGCCCTGACAGACGGATGACAGCCACGATTCAGATTCTGATGGAGACCTCTCAAATGTCAACGAGGTTGACCTTGAGGCCTCAAGTCTTGCTTAGACGCCAGCAAGCCACACCTGGGACATCTGCGAACCTGTGAGTTTGCACCGGTTTTCACCGGTTTGCACCGGTTTGCAACATCAGGATGAGGACGAAATCCAGGAGATACCCAATCCACCACAGCTGCCTTTGGTGTCGGAGGTTTCGGAAATATGACACTCGAGCAAGCGCACACAAACTTGCAGTAGGGCTGGACGTGCTCTTGACTTTCCACCTCGAACTCACGTGCCAGGAACGCTTGCAGGAAGTATGGCCTTTAGGAGATGCTGCGTTCGGCATCTTTGTCTGACCTGAGCTTAGAGCACACAGTGGCACACAGGATCACAAAAACAGGGGTGTAGGAACTTAGGACATTATGATTAGCAAAGGCAGAAGTTGTATGTCTGGCTGGACATCCGGTCGTAAGGCAGTAGGGATTCAGCATCTGCATTCCACGATTCCGTGCACCGTAGTGTTGAGGTCCGATTACTCATGACGTGATGACAGATCCCGTCGTAAAGCCCTAAGACTATGTGTCGACATGTGTATGTGTGCCGACAGAGTCGACATCCCTGCAAGGTCTGTGCGGATGGATACACGTATGAGCGCACGGCAATCGGCAGGTGGTTCGAAGCGTTATGGTCCCAGTCGAAGCTCACACACTTAGTTAGCGATGTGGATCTGGCTCATACATACATTGGGGCAAGGTCACGCAAGAGTCCTGTAACTGGTCAGAGTTTGCCTCATGTGGAGATGGCAGGGCGCTTAGATCGTGGGGTCGTGTAGCAGCCGTGTGTCGCAGACACAGTTTCCGCGTGTCTGCTCAAGCTGGAAGGTGCCAAACCATTCGGTCAGAACACTGCTGAAGACTCTCATAGACATGACCGACAAGCCCAAAGCCTGGGCCACTGACAAGCGCTTCTTAAGACTAAGAAAAACGTGACACGGTTCCTGGCGTTCAATCCTGCGACAGGTGCAAGACACGTCTCGGCCGTTGACGCCCGTCGCGACAAAGGGCAGCTCGCCGCCAGAGATGGTCGACCTACAGTCAAGATCTATGTCTGGACATATTCCAGACCTGTCGGGAGACGAAAAGCCATGCTTGTGCCCACCGCCCTCATCAACCGACGCAGAGACCGACTTGGTTCGTGGATCTTCTTCCGCGGCCTTCTCAGCGGTTCTCGCGATTCTCAACACTGTGCGTGAAGTAACGATGTGTTCTTGCTCTTCAAAACGAAGCTGAGTAAGCTGTGTCCTGGTGCTTGCTGTTGCTAAGAGCAGCTCTTCATCCTCATCATCAACTCTGCAAAGATCTGCAAAGCACCATGGTCAAGAACAAGTCTCTGTTGATTCTGTTGATTCTCGCGTGCTGGCTTTGCACTCACCTTGGCACTTCTAGTCCTCACTTCCTTTAGCTGAGAGGCGTCGGGGAAGTCCTATTCCGGAGTCTAGGCCGGCAACTTTAGCGTCCCCCCAGACTCTTCTTGGTGCTTCAGTTGTGCCTACCAGGATGCCTTCCATGTGAGCCTCCAGGACGGACAACATCAGCACTCACTGCTTCTCTCAAATTGTTGAGCAAACGCAAAATGCTGCTGTGCAGGACGCTGCTTGATGCCGTTTTCAGCAGGCGCACGAATCAATGTCGTGTGTGCCACGGCTGTCCCACCGCTGCATTTCTCAAGCATGTCTTTCTCAGAGAGTGCTGGTGCATGTAGTGACGCCAGAATGGCTCCGACAATTCATCAGAGGTCATAGTGTATCGTTCTTTTTAGTAGACGTCGCTTCTTTCCAAGCTCGCCAACCAGTTGCGACGAGGAAGAAGTTGCAAAGCGAATTCAAAATGGACAACGCAACCATGAAAACAGCAGTATGGGACTATTTGCATGTGTGTGAGCCTTTGCCGGAGTACAAGAATCTGCAAAGCTGCTCTGCTCCTCGCAGCTGTGAAGTGGGCTGTGGATCAGCATGTCCCAGACAGCACAAAGCACATTAGGAAGTTACGCAGCCGAGCTCGCAAACCCTAAGCACTTGAATTGCTAAGACACACGTACCAGGGCTCGAACTCTACATTCCAGTAGCTGGCCAACACAGGCGCTGCACCAAGGCCCATCACGTGTCGATTTGGGCCACGTGCGCATCTTGGCAGGCCGAGCTTCACACAATGGCCGACAGCTCCAAGGAAGAGCTTACGCCGCAGCAGGTGCAGATGCTTCGACGATGTATGGCGTTTTTTTTGTGTTGCAGCCATGGAAATCTTTTCGGTTTCTCGTTTGCCCTGCGTAGGTACAGGCAACGTATCAGCAGATAGAGAAGGAATGCTCTGTCATGATTAACAAGGCACTTTTCCCAAGAACAGCTGCATGTGGCATGTGCGTTCAGCAGTCCCGAATGCAGATCGCAGAGCTGGAGCAAGAGCTTAACGAGCATGCTTTGGTGATCAAGGTGCACCTGGAGGGAGTGGGGGCAATGGGGATGAAGGAAAAGAGGCTAGAGGGTTTACGGATGTTTGGGGTTTCTGTTGCCCTCAGGCAACAAATTAAACGTGTCTCCAAAGCGGAGCTTCCGTCCCTGGACCACTAAAACCATCTAAAACCTACTCTCTGCACATGGGCCTCCAGTCTATCGTGCACTGGTTCAGAAACTGTTGCCGATTCAAGTATGAGCCCCGAAACAGAATTGCTTTGCACCGTGGTCCCCCATCAGACGATTTCGTCCAGGTTAAGGGGACAAATTGTCAACACTTACCCTTCTCTAGTCACTCGAGAAATCCTATGCAGGCACGCGGGCAATTCTGGAAGTTTGACAAACGTTTTGGCGGGTACTGGGCACCCTTGGGCACCCAGCAGGATGCATGGTCCAAAGTCAGGCTACGCAATGCTGCAGACTCTCTGCGCATAGATGAACCGTGAATGTCTTCACTTTGCCGATTTTCGGCATGACAAGAGGATCTAAATACTTGAAAATTAAGATACCCTGAACAAGGTTCTCAACCAGAAGACACCTCAGCAGATACGCTGAACAGGGGGAAGCCTTCCCTTCCAACCTAACCTAATTCAACTAAAAGGTGATGCAAACTGGCTCAGAGGCCTTTGAGCAAGCGCTTCAATGCAAACTCGAAGCTTTGAGTGGGCTCATCTCGTATGCATATGACCATGCATCTCTGCTTTGCAGTGGCCTAAGGTGAGGAGGTCTGTTTCTGCTACATCTTCCTTTGCAAGCGGAAACTCGACAACCACGAAAGCAGCCTCAAAGCTCACACGGATCGCAGATACCGCACCGAATATCTGGATGCTTTGGCTGCGAGTCACCTCCACTGAGTCGAAATTAAAGAAGTCCTGAGTCGGAAATGCCCTGAACTCAAATCGAAAACAGAAAAGACCCCCCGCCCCCAAACTTTGAACCTTAATTTGCTTCTCGGGGGCCCTTCTTTGTGGGAATGTTGCCCGGGACAGCATGAGGAACGGAGCGCTAGTTGAGGTCCAAGGTATGGATGGGCCCATCGTTCGGGCCTTCAATAAAGCAAGGCCCGTGCTTTGTCCACCAACTACAGCCGCGATGCAGAGATCAAAGCCAACATGAGAAACGACTTTCTGGAGATTCGCAGAACCGCGAGTAGATCCCAAAGCACACGTGCAATGTACGTAAGCCATATGTAGGCTTGCCGGAAACAGGGGCCATGAGACAAAAACTGATGATCAGTTGAGGGTTTTGAGGGTTTGGGTTTGAGGGCTCAGATGGTTTTTCTGACTCATGCTGTCATGTTTCCTGATTCGTGCTGAGCATGAACCTTTCTGATTTCAAGAGTGGATGGATCAGTGACCAGTGCACGAAGGCTTTTGACAAAGTGAACTCCACGAGGCGATGCTTTCGCATGGCTGGCGTCTCAGCGTGTGTCACATCGTTTCTTAGAGCCGTTGAAGCCATGCAAAGCTGGCCGGGCATGTGGGCTGTTAGGTCGGCGGTGTTCTGGTAGAGCGAACTGTCGCTGAGGCAGCAGCAACCATGTTTCAAGAGGGATGCGCCGCGAAGCATGTGTGGGTTTAAGCAGGTCAGACCAGCTGTCGAAGGAAACCTCGAGAAGATACAGCAGGCGCTGTCGGAGTCGCTCTTGATTCATGTTGGGGAGGTGTTTTCATATGTTGCTTGACCTTCAGGCTGTGAACCAGCTGCAGGAACAGTTGAAAAAGAAGACCGAGCAAAGGACGCGACATGCACTTAACGGGAGGTCCTGTGAAATTCAGACTCCTGGAGCATGTGCATCTTTTGCATAGGCAGCTTGCACGGCGGCAGGACCCAGTTCATCCAGAAGTATAACTTGAATCAGCAGAAGCAGGCCTTAAGTAGCGCGGCACGTTTCGACTCGTTCAGTTCCACACCTGTGCAGGCCGCGCCTGCACCGGCGTCTGAGGCTGATGCCACCAGCAAGGGTGGGGGAAGCGTTCTTGTTTGAGCTGTATGTGAAAATGCCCGAACTCTAGGCCAATTGTCCTTATTCTCAGGATCTTTTCAGGAATCAGTCCATGAGTTTTTGTGCTGTTTGCAGTTCAATATGTCGCGCTAGCTTGCTAGCATGCTTGGCATTGAGTCAATTTGAGTTGCAACCGCTGTCGATGGAGAAAAGACAATATAGATTCGGAGAACTCTGTGCACAGAGAGGCTGCTGTTGATTCCGCGGGTCGCATCATGTACCTCTCAGCACAGAGCCATTTGCAAGGTGTGAATGCAGCCGCAGTCCACCACAGCAATGCAGCCGCAGTCCACCACAGCACAGGTACAACCATGCATCACGTGAAAGCTTAACCGTGCTGTCGCATTTTCGTGCGCAATACGTGCATGTATACATCATTTTCAAACATGACTTTCTAGGTCCAGGTCGTTTCAGCAACGCCCTCACCATGCAAAGTTGTAGCTGCTAAAGCGTGCGCTTCTTTGTAGATGGAGCTGCAGCTCCAGTGGCTCGTGTTTTTTCCTGGCCGGCCTAGCAAGGCCGATTGGCGTCGCTTTGATGCCTCCGCGCGAATTGCACGCGCAGCTCTTCAACGTAACAGTGCTTGCCACATATTGTTCGAAGACAGAATATGCATCAGCTTGAGCCCAGACTTCTTGGGTGGAGTGGGTGGAGTGTGGGATGGTACTGAAGCTCTCTACCAGACCTTGCTGAAAGAAATCGCCGATGGAAGGCCGGTGCCGCATGCAACTTTGATGCCAAAAAGTAATCTGGCTGATTTTCTTCGCGGCATGCTGCAACCAGTGGACGTTGTATTGGACTTTCGTGAAAATGGCGCAATGGTCCTTGGCCTCTACCAAGAGGGCCCTAGACGGCCCCGCAATGCCTTGTGCATTATCGGGGGTGTCAAGGATATCCACGACGAAGAGACGAAAGTCTTGAAACAGACCTGCTTGGATTTGCGAAAGACCAGGCTTAAAGTCAGCCTCGGCTCACAAGCTGAGCTGACGTCGAAGTGCATGAAGGCAACTTGGTATCAGCAGAGCTGCAAGCAGAAGAAGCCGAAGCCCAGCGTACTTAAATCAGGTCATGTCTTCTGCCACAGTCTAGAGCCCAGAGCAGCCGGCAAGCTTCTTCAGGCTGTCGGCGAGCTGAACAAGGGTCCAACTTTCGCCAACGCCATCTCTCACTTTCTGTCATCCGAACCTGTCCGTCCACCGGCGAGGGCAGACTTCCGGCCCCGGTTGCATCTCATCGCTGCATGGTGGCAATACGTAGCAGTGATGTTTCGTGTGGAGTCCTTTGCTACTTGCGTGACCTCCGCAGATGCCGTAGATACATGTCAGATACGCTTGATGTGATCTCGGAACTGAGGTGGTGCTTCCAGCCGCAACCTCTTTCCTCCAGTACTTTGAGCAGCCAGGAACTGCGACGATGGTTGTCGATGCTTTCGTGAACAGCCATGGTCGCTTGACCTGGGGGTCAAGCTAAGTTCCATTCGGCACTGAAGGCACGAGATTGTTGCATGCCTGTTGGTGCGGTGAGAAATCTGAGGCGTCTACAGAAACATGTGGCCCCTCGGCTGCAAGATCGATCTGTTGAGATGCTGTGTCTCGTGCGTACGATCCAAGGCTCAGCTTCCTAACCGACAGAGGCCCAGTCGCAGTGAGCTGGGTTTCGTATCGTTTCGCACATTGCTTGCAGAATGTGCGGAGCCGTGGAGCCTTCGTCTGAGCCGCGAGTGCATCACTTCTGCTGTGGCTGTGGCAGGCGACGCGCTGACCATCCAGTCACCTGGTACCAAGTGCTTGGCCGAAGCTGATGCCACAACATTCCTGAAGGACATGCCGTGCGCAGAACGCGAACGATCTACCCGAGACATGCCATGACGTGCCTCTCATGTCTCAGCATCTTGAGCTCCTGTGTGGGAGAGTAAGATTCGAAGAAAGGTGTCTCAAGACACGGCCAGGAGAAATTGCGGCACTTCCAAAGTTCGAATCGAACGCTGGCGGCAGCTTGCCTGCAAAGACGCAAGTGCGAAGCCAATGCCTGCTTGAATGCCGTTGACAAGGCCCTTCTCAAAGACAGCAAGGATAGCCATGGAAGAGGCGGCCAGCGTGTTCTGGTGGCAGATGAGACGAGGCAGCATCTGTCTGCATCTGGTGCCTTAACAGGTTCCCTTGAGGTCCTAGAAAAAGGTTGAGTGTACGTGAGCGTCTTGCTTCCAATCAGCATGCATGATGCGTTTGTGCATAGAAAGTGCTGTGACACTGTGCAGGCCAGTGCTGCAGCAACGCATGGACAGAGCAGCAGGCCAACCACAGGTGGATGGGAACTGTCTTTGCATGCTCTACGACCAGTCTACGACTTTATGAGCTCTACGTGTGTCCGGAGAGGTCGGCCTGCAATGAAACCATTTCCGCCAGGAACAGGTGGCTGTAGTTTTCGTGAACACAGAGATCGAGCGGGAAGCTGCGATCCAGGCATGCAGTGATGCAGGCCACAAGGGTCTGGACTCCTCACACCCACTATGCTTGGATTCAGCATGCAGTGATGCCCGGCAGGTGTGTGCTTCCACGCCTGCGCCAACGTGGGAGGTGTGGCGTCGGGCATGGCCTACGCTTCCAGCTCAGTCTGACAGCGCGAGTTTTTGAACCGCTGGCAGCTTTTATTGTCCGATGCGAGATTTTTTTTGTTGCTCTTTTGGATAAATTCTGAGGCCAATGTGCTCCACAGTGCAGGAGTGCTTGGGCCCTGCCTGGCAGCAGCTGTCCCCAGCCGCCATGCCGCCAATCGTGGGAGTGCAGCGAATCTTGCTTGCATGTTTTATGGTTTGAGTGCGGCATGAAAGAAAGCAGCGGGCACCTGTGATGTCAGAAGCACCATTGCATTCGCATGCCCTTTTTTCAGAACAAGATCGTATCAATGCTGTGCCCATCGGTGCCCTTGTCTGGCACTTTGTTTCTGCCTCGCTGCTGCTAGCCCTTTGTTTCATTCCCTGCCTTTCGCTTGACCATTAACGCATTGACCTTACAAGGTTTGTTGCTCTTTGCTGTATTCCCTCCGCCTTTTTGTTTCTTGTTTCTTGCATTTAGCATTCACCTCCTTTTCTGATGTTGTGTGGGTTGTGCTACTTCCCATCGCGCAACCGGAGTTCTTGTTTTCCAAGCGCTTCTTCCCTGGACTTATCCAGCCTGTGATCTTAAGGGGTATGCTTGCAAGTTGTGTCAGAAAACCCAAGTCGATCACTTTCGCTGAGGAAGCCTTCGCAAGCTGCGTGCCCCAGTGTCAGCCACGAGCTTATCTTGTGTGGAAATGCAGCGCAGGCGGATGCGGCTGCATTTTGATGCCAGGGAAATGTTTGAGAAAGTTTGCATTTTCGGATCCCCTCAGCACTCCAAAGCTCCTCAATGCCCAGGGTGCAGGGTGACTATGACTATAGGTGACTGCTGAACGGAGAGCATGTTCCATGCGACGGGATCCCCCCTAGGTCGCAACTCCCGTCTGCCAGCGGATATGCGACCGAAAGGCCAGGTGTAGCAAGCCATGCAAGCCACATCACAGTCAGCTGTCTTTAGGTCTTGACGGGTCTTGACGGGTGTTGACGGGTGTTGAGGTGTGGACGGGTGTTGGATGAGCAGGCAGCGGCAAACTGGCACCGTGGGCTGCGGGGGCTGCAGCCGCGAATGCCGCGGCACCGACGGTGTGGCAACTGCCCTCGTCTTGCCAAGAAGAGGCCCTGAACTGAACGTAGCAGAATGTGAGCTGCTGCTAAGCCGTCGCAGCAACCGTAACTTTGCAGAACCTCACTGCGCAGCTGGGCTTTGCAATCCGAGCACCACTCTCAACCATCTCCGCGCTCTGCCAATCCGCAGGCGTCGTCGAGCAGTGCCAAGAGCGAGACGCGCTCACAAGTCTGTGACATGCCCGCATAGCTTGCACCTCAAGGGAGTTGAGGACACAACTTCCCCATGACGAGGATGGTTTAACAAAAGCTTTACATGCAAGAGCCATTTGCCGACTGACAGTGAATGAGCAGGTGTGACTGGGACATGTAGAGAACGTGCTTAAGGGCAACATCTCACATGATGGTCGCTGGCCAGGCGGTTCGGCCCATCTAGAATCTAGAAAAAAGGACGCCGCAACAGCTACAGCGAGAGGCACTTTGCAAGCAGATGGCAACCCGTGCCAGTGCAGCTTTGCCAGCAGAACGGCTGCGTCACTCCTGAGTTGGGCACCGCCGCAGCCTACAACTTCTTCGGAACCAGCCCGCCAGAAACTTGCCCGACGCATGTTTTACCCTGCGCGGTCCGACTCAGCAAAAAGGCACTGCTTATTCTGGCCAGCCGGGCATCACTGTGTAAGTGATGTGCATGCCTATGCATGCCTAATGGGCCTTCTCCTAATGGGCCTTCTGAGCCCCAGGTGGGGCTGCGTACCCTATAAAAGAAGTTTTTGCAGTTTTACAAGTTTCAGGGGTTATTGACCTCCTGCAGGCTTCCTGGAAGGCTTCAAGAGGCGCCACATGCACGACGAACACAACAGACAAAAACCCACACAACCGACAACCGGCGGGCGAAATCGAGGGCACTGCAAGGCCGCTGTAATCTGCGAGCAGATGTTTTTCGAATTGTGATCTTACTAGTGCTCTGGACTTGAAGGCGACGCCCTACCGACGCCTACCACTGATCCTGGCAACACCGTGCTCAGCACAGAAAACGGAGCAGAGCATCTCGATCCCAGTGATGCGGCCGCTTCCAGTGCGGAACCTGAGCCGGAGAAGCCAGAGCTGCTTGCTGCACATTGTGGCTTTTCTTTTGAGGTTAGCTTCAAGGGAAATTTCGAGTGTTGGCGATGGAAAAGTCAACCAAGGAGTTCACAGCCATCGGATTGACCAGATTCAGTGTTTCACATATCTTCTTAGACGAGATCGTCATGGCCCATCATGGCATCCAGGTTTGGGAGCCTGCTAGGCAAGTTGCCTGAAGTCTGGCTCTCCCTCCAGCGGTGCGCTTTGAAGAAGCACTTCCCAACGTGCAACACAAATGGTGCTTCTTTCGCAGAAAGCGTCACGAGAAACTGCCGTCCATGGACATGGCATTCAGCTCGAGAGCATTGGCACCAGATGTCCACATCAACATCGTCCTCGCGCAGGGATGCCTCGTGCCTGTGCAAAGCAGCACGGTTCGAATGGCAGAAAAGTCTGAGAAGAGTTGGAAGCAGTGGAAGCAGTGCGGGGTGCTCTGAGGGATGCACTGCGGGAGCAAGTGTCATGCATTTTCAAGGGTTGCAGGCATTTGAAGGCAGTGTGGAAAGATCTGCCCGATTTGGCCCAAGGAGCGTGCAGGCATTTGCATTTGCACCCTGCAGGATTCATGAACTCCTGACATCATAGACATGTTGTAAGAGAACACCCCACGTTAGATTAATTTGAATTGTTGCTGGTCTGCCGGGGTCTTCCTGGACTGCCGATGGTTGATGCCTCAATGTTCAAGATGCCAGACAGTGATACTGGCAGTTCCAATACTACGACGATGACAACGGCATTAAGGTTCAATAAGGTAACGAGACGTAGCACACGTAGCACAGCCCAGGCGAAGCACAGCTCCGTCATCCGGCCAGAGGCACGACCCTCCTCAGCAGTCCTCAGCCCTCGCCTGTTTCCTGCTATCCTGTTTGGCGTTCCGGAATTGCAGGGCCTCCAGGGGCCGGTCTGGGCTTTGTTGAAGTTGCTGGCTGAGTTGTTGATCTTCAGACTGCAGGCCAGTCGACCATACCCCGTCCTTGTCGGCACAGAGCGCAAGGAGACGTGAAGCTGTGCAAGAAGTGGATAGAAGTGGTATACGAAGTCAACTCTTGACGCGCCCAAAGGTCCTTCCACGTGAAGGGCACTCGGCATGTCCGCTAATGCTGCCGTAGACACACAAGATTCGGCGTTGACTCTTTTGTCAAGTCATCGCAGGACATGGTTGCTGTGTCACCTCTGCTGCGCCCTCAAGCTCACCAAATCTCTTCCAAACAGTCAGACATATTCAGACTATCCAGACTGCCCAGCGTGCATCAGAGTGGGCGGTTCAGCTGAAGCCCCTTGCATGCTGTTGAGGAATGTGAGGAAACAGCCAGCACGAGGCCGCCGCAGGATCCCCAAGTGTGCTGCTGTCTTGTCGCATGCTGTTGTCTTGCTTCTGCAATTTATGCAGTTTCTCTCCAAGGCTCGGACTTAAAGGAGGCTTCGGAGTTCTGCCAGAAGCATTCCGTGGATCCAGCCTAGAGCCCAATCGCTCTTGCCTTGTGAGCACGCGGAGTTTGCATGGCTCTGCGCAATATCGATTGCACTTTGCAAACTTTTGCAAGGCGAGCGGAAGGTTGAGGCGCCGTGACGAGACGGGAGGAGGTGGTTTCGTGGTTTCGGCACGATGGTGGCTTTCGAAGACTGCTCGGGTATCCCCTTGGCGTGCCAGATTCTGCCCCAAAGAGGGAGATCGCTGATGAACCCGTTGTGTCTGCCTCAGCTTGCTCAGCACGGACAATGGGGGGAAGCAGAGTCGAGTGTTGAGTCTTGAGAGTGTATTGGGGGGTGTGGCCCACTAGTGTGAGGTTCCAAAGCATGACGAAGACGAATTAGACGAGGAGACGAGGCGATTTCTTTGGCCAAGTTGTTGTAGGTTTTTGATGGTTTTTGCAATTCCGCACTTTATTCAGGCAGTGGATATCTATGCTCATGGACTGGCCGGGTGCCGAGTCTACCGCTGCCAACTGCTTTCCGTCTCGGTGCTTGCGCCTTGCGCATGCTACACTACTGTCCACGAAGGGAAGCAGGGGTGATAGTATTTGCCGGATGGTTTCGAGACGTAGTCTCTTCGGAATACGCTGTGTTCCACTAGTTTAGCCCATGGTACGGTTTCCGCCAAGGAGTGAACTTGATGATGACTTCCCCTTGCCAATCCAGCCTGTGGGTCTGACTGGCAAGTGGGTGGCCAAGAGACTGTGTCAGGAGTAGGGGTTTTTGCTATGTTTTGTTGTTTAGGTTGCGGTGACCTCATTCCCGACTTATGGCCTACTCGAGTCATTCCAGTCACCGCCTTCAACTGCCCAAAGCCTTTTTGGAACTCGTATCTAGGACCTCTCTGGCTTCTGGAAAAAGGGAGGGATAGTAAAGGAGCTTTCTTCAAGTCTCAAGCCGAGGTCCTTGGTTGCTGTGGAAGAGGCCCGAGGCCGCGAGAGGGTGACTCATGGTGACCCTCCGCTCTCTGGTGGCTCTCTCTGGTGGCTCTCTCTGGTGGCTCTTTCAGGGGGGAAGGCTTGTTTCGCTTTTTCTGCTCGTCGCCATGGGCATGTTGCGGAAGTGCAGGGTCTGCTTGTTGATTCTCGGAGATTCGGAGATGATGCAGCTGGGTGTCTCTGGTGTCTCTGGTTGTGCGCTTCTTGCAAGGAGGCCAGCGGAAGGACACGCAGGATCACATGCCAATGTATTTCAGCAATGATACGCTTCTCTTCTGTGCCTTGGATGCAGGCAGAGGGCTGATTCTTCCAAGCTTGGGGTTGGATTGTGGTGGGCCAGCTCTGCAACACCTTGGATGCAAACCCTTGGGACGACAAGTAGCGATGGTGCTCTTGCTGACTCTTGCTCTATGTGCAACACCTCAATCTCTTGAGCAGGTTATGATGCCCCTGACCTCACTTATGACGAGCACTTCAGCAGGCCACATCGCACGTGCAACGGAACTGGTTCTGTCCTCGTGTCGAAACCAATTCATCCTGCACCCCCGCATGTACAAGCCAAACACCGTGAACCTCACTCAGCTAAAGACATAAAATTCAAACCCTTAGTCCTCCTGGAGCCTGCTTGCAATCACTTCTTCTTTGGAGTTTTAGGGTTTGCTTTAGAGGCTTACAATTCCCGTTGGCTGCGCGCTCCCTTGGGCTTTCGGTCTGGAATGTGTGCTACGTTACCTATATAGCCGGACCCTTTTTGCAGCACAAGCGTCGCTGTAGCGACCCGATTTTTTGAAGGAAAGATGGCAAACAAACCCTCGACATCAAGGGGCATCAGGCTGGCAAGCTTTTTAGCCTCCCAACCCCATGCAAAACAAACATCTTTGGGCCTCTCCAGTGTCCAATGTTCAAGCTCACGAAGCTCACTGTCACCCTTGCTCAGCCACCCATAGACCACCCATCCACCCACCCGTCGCCCTGAGTGGTCGACCGCTCTCTCCCCATCGCTCCGGCATAATCGCTTAATAAGATGTCGACCCGCCGGTGACTCGATCTCGCTCTCACTGTTGCCCTTCATCACCCACCCCGCCTATAGACTCCCGGATCTCGTTTTTTTGGAGAATGAAAGAAACGAGAGCTGAACTTCAGAAAGGGTGCAGGAAGTTTCTTTGGGGGAGCCCGTACGGTGCCAGCAGATCAGTCCGAACGTGAGGGAATATTGGAGTTTTGTTACTGGAAAGACCCCACAGGGTGGTTCCTGAGCCCTGGCGATTCCAGTTCTGGGCAAGAGGCCGGGTGTGCAAAAGTCCGCTTGCCACATGTTGACACGTTGACCACGAGAAGCATGGCAGGCAAAGACTCCTCAATTGCCGTTCGTGGGCTTCATGACCACCCCGTCTTCAGTTGCGCTCTTGTGTACAGTGCGAAGGAGCCTTCCAGGACTGCGAGTGCCTGCACAACAGCTCTTTTCTTGTCTAGGTCGTCGTCTGGCAGATGACGTGTGCCGATGTTGCTTCACGGCTGGGCTACTGGTGTTGGTGATGGGGGTGGGAGTGGGGGGAGGGGGGGGGTGCTTGCGTTTGGGTTGGTGGTGCTCGTGGTGCTATGCTGACTGTAGCTGCTGCTGCTGATGTTGCTGGTGGAGCTCATGGTGGCATGGCGCGTCGGTGTGGTGGCGGCGGTGTCGCTGATGGCTACGTGCGATGGTGGTCGTGATCGGTGATCGTGGTCGTCCTTCTTGTCGCTATTGTCGTCATGGTGACTGCTTTTGTTGGTATAGTGCCGCTTCTGCATCTGATGTTTCTGCTGATTTTGCTCTGGACCTTATTCAGGAAGTGCACACAATGGATGCGACATCACTACGACCTCGAAGGCAGGGCGAGATTCCCTAAGATTCACACATGGATCAGTTGCAATTTGCAGCAGGCTTCAACAACCCAGATGCTGAGTACATTGTGACTCATTCCATGGACACTACGGTGATCTGGCGACTTGACCACTTGTGGGAGGCCAGTTGCAGGGGAAGAAACGCGCTCTTTTGGTAAATATCCTCTACTGAGGCTGAGCCCCCTCCTGTGATGCTCTCCAGGTTGCGGAAGAAGCTGCCCTGGGCAACAAACAGGAAGCGGAGCCTGTGCGCACACTCTTTTGCCCATACCTTCCGCAGATCTACGAGGTTTTCTTCACTGGAGCCATACAGCGGGCTTTGTTTTTTTCCAAGTGCAGGACCCTTCGAAGAAGCTTGAGATCAGTCAGACCAAAGAAAGCCCATCGCTGCTCTCAGAGAGTAGTGCGGAGCTGTGGCTGAAGACCTTGGAAGGCCTTCACACATCTTCCAAGCCAAATATTCAATCTTATACGATTTATGATGGTTTGTACGATGTTAGGTTGTTCCTGCCAGATTTGCTTGTTGATTCGCTGTAGAACTCTATCGGTGTTTTCATGCTACAGTAAGCAGCGTCGTCTCGCAGGCATGTATCCTGTGCAGCGTGACAAGCTTGCTGGCTGCTTCGCCATTGTGGGCGAGTACCTGCCTGGACAGGGCTGTCGTAAGGGAAATGCGGTATGTTGTTTGTGGCACACCTGGAAGCATCATCTGCAGGCAGCAAGATTTCATAAAGATATGTTTCCCCAGACCTACCAGCCAGTTATCCTGTACCATCCCAAAAAGACGGGGTGGACGATAAGGACACCGAAGGAGAAATGTAATGACTCAGAAGATTCGATGAACGATGGCTGTCAACCGCCGGTCGCAGTTAGAAGAGACGACGAGACATGAGCTTTGCAAGCCAAGACAAGGCTTGAGCTCCTAGGCATGCAGGGGGGGTTTTGAATGTTTGGACGTGGGATGCAGGCTACAGTGCCCTATTGCGCCTGCACCTGTCCACTAAACCAAATGAAGAAGCGCTTAAGCCTGCTAGCTGTCAACCGGAGATGAATGAGCAAGCAGACATGCCGCGTATCGTCACGTTGCACGGAGTTGCACTTGCGTCAGGACAGCGAAGTCCCAACTACCGTCCTGACGATCACAGAGGTGGCGTTGTGATGCGCGAGGACCGCAGCGGTTTGCTAATACTCTCAGTCGCACGTGGTCCTGAAGTCCGGAGCTCGGCGCTTCAATGAGCTTCAGCCGTGGTTACGAATGCGACGTTGCAACCTGTGTGAAATGCAAACCTTCAAAGTGGGTGGGCACGCGTGTTGGGACCCAAACTAAGGTCGAAGTTTATGCCGTCACCCCGAAGCTGGATGTTATTCCCATGGCCCTGGTTGACGCTGACATCGGTGCAACTCTCGGCTCTCTCATGAGTGTGCAGGCACCAGGCTGGAAGATGTGATTTGCGGAGGCCTCACCTCATGTCTTGAGATCGTATTCCCAGAGGTCTGGCCCTTAAGCAGAAATCTCATCCGAGTGGGCCGGAGCTTTCTGACGGTTCTAGAATTGTTATTGAAGATTTTCTCTGGTCCTGCAGGGCCCATTTCGCGGACTGCGAGCAAGACTACAGCCGGATGAGAGTGCAACACCGTGGGCGGCTTGGGCTTTGATATCCGACCCAAGGCTGAGGCATGGGTTCCGGAGCATGTGGAACCCCGGCTGACAAAGCTCCCCCCCCGCTACTGCCGAAAGTTAGCTGAAAGTCCTTCCCCTGCAGATTTTCTTGTCGACCCTCACCTCAGCGCCTCAGGGGTAGAAGATAGTGTGCAGAAGCCCTTTTCCTTCCCCTCAACGTCATGAGGCCGTACAAAGAGGAAAATCCGCAGGAGAGCAGCATCAAAGACTCCCCGTGCGGGGCCCGAGTGCCTGGGGGATAGTCGGATATGCATGTTTAAGAATCAATTCTCACAGCATCCCGTTACTACCCTAGCTCTGCACAAGAATGGCTTGCAATTAACGCCCTGACCTTCGAGAAGTCGATGTGCTTTCTAGTGGAGGCCGCAAAGCTTGAAAAGCTCGAAAAGCTCGAAAAGCCAATGCTCCACACCACCAGGCGCGATTGGAATCCTTTCGTGGCCTAGCGAACGGGACACTTGCAGCAGTTGGGTCAAGACAGCATTCTGTCTCTTTGCAGGTGACAAATCACCAGGCAATACTCCGTGCGGCTCTCAATCTTTGGCATGTGGCCCTGAGTGGGACAAAGCTGCCCGGTGTTCTAACACATGAAAGAACTGTTCCAGTTCTGCAGACCTCGAAATCCTGCAAGTGCGAACTCCTTCGACAACCTGTATTTCTGCTGCGAGAGAAGATGTGCCAAACATCGACAAGATACAGGTATCTTGGAGTTCTAGTTAAAGCTTCACGTCAGACTTCCATTCTCTGTTTAGCAGACAACAAACACAAAATCTATGGCCGTCTGTTTATGGCGTCAGGAACTAGAGATCCAAGGCATCAAGCAACATCTTCGTGTCTGCGAAGCTGTTTCTCATGAAAGCGATCCTTTCGATTTGAGTGAAACACACCCCCTCGTGATGAATAATGCTCGTGTTGCTTGGTGCTGTTGCTCTGTATGAACGGCATCAACAGCGGGAACCTCAATATCGTTCGTTGTGTGCGCTTCAGAAAGGTTCGCGTAACGTAAGGGACGTTTTAAGATTTACGGGCCATGGCTCATCAGGTGGCTTTTCTGAACTCAGATTCATCACGGCCACGTGGAGCCACGTGCATACAAAGTCGAAAGGAGTTGAATATTCAAACGAACAGAGACTGTATGATATGTCATTACCCACACAACAGTCCGTCGCGCTTTGTTGCGGCGCAAAACCTCAATTTCAAAAACAGGAATCTTGTTTGACGGGAAACTGCGGCACATGCAGACATTAAGTGCAGACCTCACCTGCTTCTGCTTGACTTCCCACCACTTGACTCAGGCCGAGCTCACCTGTAAAGGATGCTCAGTCGGAGCCTAAGCCATCCAGCAAACACCGGTACGCAGTGCATGTCTGTCACAGGAGGCAGCAGAATCAACTCCACCATTTCTGCCATTTCCTGCATCCTTAAACATGCGAGGCCGAAATCCAAGATCGGCAGCGGCCAGCACCAGGTTTGCACGCCACGAGGCCATGTCCTCTGCTAGACGACAGATCCTCTTCAAGCCTTGTGCCTCCGTTTGCCGACTTCTGCAGGTGCCAGCTTCCAGAGTACGAACATCGGAAGAGGACTCCACTTGGTGAGTGCGTCATTTGTGGTCAGATCTCCCAAGAGCTTTCCAAGAACTCCGCCTCCAGGAAGCTTGCCCCGACAGGTCTCCTCACGAGGCATCCACCAGCGCACAAAGTCTGACTTGTCTGACATGTCTGAGAGGGTCCGCTTCGCCGCTCCTGCCAGGAACGGAGACACCCGCATCTCCGAGCCGTGTGCAGGTCTCGCGCGTGGGCGTGCGCCAAGGCTCCTGCTCTGCTTGCGCCACTGTTGCCGCTGCTTGCCACCCTGTGCCACGGTGAATCATGGCAATGGTAACATGAGTTCTTCCCTTGCAGGGCATCAAAGCGACGGGCGGCTGGCAGTTGGCCGAGAGCCAAGACAGACATCCAAAACATATCGCACCGTTCTGGGCCTTTGCGTGAGTTGCTTTGGATTCCGCATGTCTCAGCAACATCCAGCAGCTGTGTTTTGCTTTCGTTTGCCTAGGTGTCCGAATCTCGGACAAGTCGCGGCCGCTTACCAGCCAAGGCATGCATTGTCGGATGTTTCCGCGATTTGCCACATTCGTCCTCCGGCTTTGAAGATCAGGCACCAAAACCAAGACGCCCTCGACGACGCAGATTGCAGGCATGTGTGACCCATTAATTGAAATCGTAGATTCTGACACTACGGCGTGACTCAGAAATCGGATGTTCTTGTACTACACCATTGGTTTTCGAAGCCGACTCGTGATTCTCTGCACCCTGATATACCCTGATGCGAGTCCACTGAGGACGTCGCAATGATTCTCGACAAAGTAGTACAAGCCTGGCACCAACATCAAGTGCAGCCCCCACATGTGGCAAAAGCTTTTTAAGGCATCTTGGTTCAGAATGCATGTCTTGAGCAATGCTGCAGATTTGAGGCGTGCGAGTGTCTGAACGACGTTCAAATTCCCCAAGAGGCCTCCGCAGGGCAGTCCCGCTGTAGAAAAAGTTAGTGCTGATCTGCTCATTTTGTCAGGACGTCGCGGTGAGACTCGCTCAACCACGAGCTCTGGCATGGTGAGTCACGGCCCCGAGACAAACTTCGCAGAAGCCTATCATCTGTTGCCCACACTTGCTCACAACTTGCTGGCTGGAGGTGGAAGCCGTGATGCTGCAGGCAGCTGCCCCTTTCCTATGCTTTACTGCACCTCTCGCTTCTGCCCCCAGTTCGCAGCGCTGGTCATCGCCTGGTCACCAACCTTTCTGGCGGCAGCCCCACAAGCCTGGCTCCAAGAGCAGACTGGGGCTATGCCCGGTTCCGCGGTTTCGGGAGGCCTTTTGCATTGACCTTGTTCACGGCAGCGGTGAGGCCAAATCAGCGCATCAAAAACGGTGCGCCGAGACGTGAAGCCACTTGTGAAGGTTGGGAGAGTAGCCTTTTGCAGCTTGCTGCTCTTGTGCGGCCTCGCGTTCAGAATTCAGAACCAGTCGAAACGTTTCAAATCTACACGCCTAGCTATTAGTGCAACACAAGGAAAAAGAAGACAGCAGGCAACTCTTTGTCTTTTTCTCGCATACGGGTTGCGTCACGGGCAGTCTCAAAAAAGGCCCTGGCACATGCAAGGCCAGGCATTGCACCGCTGCCCACTTTAGAGTCGCGTCGCAACCTGGAAAGAAGGCCAAGTGCAAGAGGTGGTGCAGGCATGTGCAGGCAACCTCTACACTTGGTCAGCGCCCCACTCACAGTGGATTGTGACCGGGCGACGCAGCAGGAAAAGGCGTCAGGCACTCAACAGCAGGAAAAGGTATCATGCAGACTGTTCAGGCGTTCAGGCACGTTACTTTTCATGCACAGGCATGGTTGCACGCTGGCGAGGCATAGAGACCCGGTCGAAAGGCTCAACAATCATCTCAATCATCTCGTATGCATTTGAGTAAAGGCAAATGCGGGACAAAGGGCATTGCAGGATCATGCATGGGCTTTGAGTCCTTATGGATGTGGGCTTTGTTAGAACCTGTTTTGTCAGGACAGGCCGTGCGCCAAAAAAGTCTTGAAGAACATAATCGGTTTCCAAGTGCCAACAAAAGTTACCTTCCCAACACACCTGACCCTGCTGTCCATGTCCAAGGGGCTGCTGCTGCTACTACTACTACTACTACTACTACTACTACTACTACTACTACTACTACTACTACTACTACTACTACTACTACTACTACTACTACTACTACTACACCACCAACCACCACCAACCACCACCAACCACCACCAACCACCACCAACCACCACCAACCACCACCAACCACCACCAACCACCACCAACCACCACCAACCACCACCAACCACCACCAACCACCACCAACCACCACCAACCACCACCAACCACCGCCAACACTGGCAAACACCGCCAAACACTGGCAAACACCGGCAAACACCGCCAAACACCAGCAAACACCGGCGGCAAACACCGGCAAACACCGGCAAACACCGGCAAACACCGGCAAACACCGGCAAACACCGGCAAACACCGGCAAACACCGGCAAACACCGGCAAACACCGGCAAACACCGGCAAACACCGGCAAACACCGGCAAACACCGGCAAACACCGGCGAACACCGGCGAACACCGGCGAACACCGGCGAACACCGGCGAACACCGGCGAACACCGGCGAACACCGGCGAACACCGGCCAACACCGGCCAACACCGGCCAACACCGGCCAACACCGGCCAACACCGGCAAACACCGGCAAACACCGGCCAACACCGGCCAACACCGGCAAACACCGGCCAACACCGGCAAACACCGGCAAACACCGGCAAACACCGGCAAACACCGGCCAACACCGGCCAACACCGGCCAACACCGGCAAACACCGGCAAACACCGGCCAACACCGGCCAACACCGGCCAACACCGGCCAACACCGGCCAACACCGGCCAACACCAGCAAACACCAGCAAACACCAGCAAACACCAGCAAACACCAGCAAACACCAGCAAACACCAGCAAACACCAGCAAACACCAGCAAACACCAGCAAACACCAGCAAGCACCAGCAAACAGCAGCAAACACCAGCAAACACCAGCAGCACCAGCAGCACCACCAGCACCAGCAGCACCACCAGCACCAGCAGCACCAGCAACACCAGCAACACCAGCAACACCAGCAACACCAGCAACACCAGCAACACCAGCAACACCAGCAACACCAGCAACACCAGCAACACCACCAACACCACCACCAACACCACCAACAACACCAAAACCACCAACACCACCAACACCAGCAACACCAGCAACACCAGCAACACCACCAACACCACCAACACCACCAACACCAGCAACACCAGCAACACCACCAACACCCCTGACTCTTTGCGACTGCAGGCAGCAACATCCGAGGGAGTCCGGCTGCGCAGCCGCTCAGTCTCCAGCGACAATGCCGACCGCCGTGGCCAGGTGGGGAGTCTACACTGTGTACACGTTCTATTTTTCAGACGTTGATGCTGAACTCACGGGTCTGGCAGTGCCACGCGGGATCTGGAGCCCTGGCCTTGCCAGGCAGTGTCACCAAAGCTGGCCGAAACCCCTCCGCGGCCAGAGTCTGTTGAGCCTGCTACGGCCTAAGCTGCACTTCGACTGGTGGTGGTACCATGTGATGACAGTACAGTGCGGGCCCAGCATTTCTGAGGTCGGGGTGAACAGTGCATCCGCTCAGGCAGTGGAGTACGGATTTGTTAGCAGGAGCGAAAACGCTGTCAGCCATCGTGAGCAAGCGTGACAGCTTGGGCCAGGCCAGTTACGTGGCTTCCCCACAGATGTCCCGCCTGAGCCTTTCGGCAAGGTCAGCAGCAGGAATTGCAAGAGTCACTGCTCAATGAGTTTTTCTGAAATCATCGCATGGGCACCAAGGCCATGTAGCAGCGCCGGTATCCAGGCAGCACACGGCCCGTGTTCCTGCACAGAGGTGGCGCAGTGCATTGGAACCAAGGGAACAGTCCAAGGGAAGCAGCAAGTTGATGTAAGCTTGAAGTTCCTTATCGACAATTGCACACCAACTTAGGCCTTGTCTCTGCTTGCCACAGTCCAGGGCTGTTCACGGTTTGCCTTTGGCCAGGTTTGCAGTCGCGCCGAGCGGCCGCGGGTCCTCAGGCAGAGTTCCGAGAAAACAATTGGGGCCAATCATGAAGTTGTGAAAATATTTTGGTATGCCCTCGCCATGCTCCTTTGCCATTTTGCCGTTTTTCCGGTCAATTTCCATGCGCTGGTCGCCTGGCATGCCAAAACTCTTCAACCGAACGGCAAGTCTTTCATCTGTCGTTAAAATGGAGTGCTCATTGATGTATGGAGCTAGACCTGATGCCCTGTGAAAAGGAAGACTCCACGATTGAATGCGCGATGCGCGCAAGTCGCTCGAATGCTCCATTCAAGTGGCTCTCAGGTGTGGTGCCTGCAAATCAACCACGGCTTCAAGGCAGGTACTTGTTTTCATAGCCCATAAACGGCACTGAGTGACCAGAGCTGTTTGCAGTCGGAATCGAGGAGTGTACAACACTAATTACTGACGTCCACAATTTTGCTGCCAGGTCTTTCCTCGTGGCCGAGTGTCTGGGTTCCACAAGTCATTCCAGCAGTACAGCCGGTGCCGGTGCAGGTGCTGACTCCAAGATCTTCATCGAACTCTAAGTCTTGCTGAGTGCTAGAGCCACGTATTGGGCGAGTCGTAATGATGCCATTCGATATGCAGGTGCCAATGTCAATGGTGAGCCGCAGCTCCATGGGACACCACTTTGCGCAGCACTGGCCGACTTATTGTTGAGATAAAGAAACTCCATGTTAGTCCATGAGTGCTCAAGCTTCGCAAGGGTTTGAGTGGAAGGCAGTCGAGGGCCAGCTTTACTACAGTGGCAGCAACAGGCTACCCTGCTGTGGGGAGCTCAGAGTGACAGTCCGTTCAGACCTGAAAAAGCCATCGAGAGAGCTGTATTTTCGGGTTCCGGAATGTAGTTGCACATCTAGGCAACGTGCTCACGCACACGTGCGCACGCGCGCGCGCGCGCGTGCACGCGCACGTGTGCACCCGCCCACGTGCACCCGCCGGCGCCGCACCCACGTCCACGCCCACGCCCATGCCCATGCCCATGCACGCGCATGCACGCACGCACACGCACGCGGAGGCACGCGCACGCACACGCACACGCACACGCACACGCACGCGCACACGCACACGCACACGCACACGCACACGTACACGTACACGTACACGCACACGCACACGCACGTGCACACACGCACGCATGTGCACACACGCAAGCACGACCCACGCGCCACGCGCACGCACTTGCACGCACGCTCACACGCACACACACTCATCAGGAGAGCAATTTCAAGAACCGACTTGTTACTTTGCTGTAGGCTCTTGAAGTGTTGTGCCATGGTCAGAGGGTGTGATTGGTACATGTGTCGGGCTGCTCAGCAATGAGGCAGCCAATCATGCAAGAATGGCCAGCTTCCAAGGAGGGCTGCATTCATTCTGACACTCTGCCACGGCTATGTACAAGTAGCACATGACAGGCTCCTGGCTCAAGAGCACTTTTCCATACTTTTTCCTATGGACTCATGTGAATTTCTTGAGACGCTTCCGACCCGAGGCCTCACTCAACCGCTGGCCGGTGGTGCGCTAAAGCAATGACGTGGTGGCCAAAATGTGTGTGCTTCATCTTGCGGTGTCCTGGTGTGCGCTGCTTTTGTGCTTCTCAGCCTTTGTGGAGCCGTGCAACTGTGCTGCTGCCGGACATCCTGAGTCAAGTACGGCGCTTTTCCCTCAATGGAATGACTGATGTACTATGCACATTACGTCACTTAACCGGTGCGCTTCTCAAGCTCTGGCAAGTCGCTACTCGCCGCGACTTCCCGCATCATCCTGAAGTAGTCTGGTTCTCATTTCCAGATAGCTCGTGCTTTGATTTATATAGTTCATCTCCACCATGAAATATCGCTTCAACTCTTGACGCATTCCGTTCGACAACGTTCCAGTCCTCAAGTTCTGATCGTATCTCGGAAGTCTTTTCTTGTGCCGCGTCTGCACTAGAGGGTGCGAGAGGGCCCAGTCATGGCGCATGTCCCTGGCGCTGACGCTCAGCCGACCGTTACAGCCGTGTGTGGGCAGACTGCGTCCGGCACTGTTGCGGCCAGCACTGTGTGTTTGGCCCAGCTATCGGTTCTGGGCATCGTGGCATCGCCACCTGAATCGCCTGAATGCTGCTGCCGTGGATGGAGATGTCCATCGAGCCGAGCGTGAGTTTGAGACCCTCATTTCTCAAGTACCTCGAGAAAAGTCCACAGTGGTCTACAACACGTTGCTCAAGGTAGGGCGGGCTAGTACATCGGGGCTGCAGCAGTTGTTCCGTTCGAATCTACTCCATGCAGCGAGGCCTTCGCGAACAATGGCTCTGCGCAGAGAGCTGTTTCGCTCTACGGACGAATGCGAGAACAAAGCATTCGTGTCAATGCCAGGATGAACAGTCGTGAAGTATGCTGCGCGGGCTGTGATTTGCTTGATTTACACGATTGCGGGAAACAGCAACCACGCGAGATGGCACACCTGTGACATACCACATTGTGGCGAGCCATGTTGCCCCAGAGGACCTATGGCAAAATCATTGAAGCTCACGCCAAAATCGGCGACCTGGAGTCTGCGATGGCATGGCTGTCCCGGCGGTCTCAGGACTTCAAGTCCGCTTCTTGGGCATCGCGAAAGTTTTTCTCTTTGCCCTGAAGCGAGCAGGTCCACCTCAATCGAATGCATTGAGGTAATGGGGTCCATTGCAGAAAGTTCTTGCGTTGGATGCGAGGATTGCGGATTTCAGCTTTGTTCAGTCGGACTTGATGTTCGTCGCTGCCTGTCACGATCTGTCATGTCACTTGCTTGACTGAGGATGCTGTCGCCCTCAACATGATCCTCGATGCTGCTGCGCAGGCATCCATCGGTAGACTCGAGACTGCCAAGCAGTTAAGCACTGCTAAGCACCAGAGTTGCCCGTCCAGAGCTCTGTATGACAGTGCAGCCGACATTCCGAGAAACCGGCAGAAAAGAGCTGCGCTCAGAGGCTGGCCTTGCGGAAGAGGCGGAGGCCAGGGACCGGTGCGGGTAGGTCCTGCGACAGTCTGTAGGATGAATTTGGTACATCATTGCTTGGCCATTCTAGCTGCTGCATCGCTCAAGCACCGTCGATCGTCTGCAGCAAAGCTTTTGTGACTTCACCCTGTACCTGCAAGATCCTGCAAGGTACTCTTCCTTTCCATCGAGCAGATGGGCTTTGCCACAACTCATTCGTTTGGCAGTGTCTTGCACGCCCTTGCAAAGGCCTGGAGCGCGCACTGTGGTAGCGACAGGCGTTGTTAGTTGTTTGCATGTCCTGGCTTGAAACAAAAGTCCCGTCGGTATACGGGCCTAGCTCAAACAGGATCGGAGTAGGACTTGAATAGGACTTCTGAGAAGTCAGATCGTTGTCCGGCTGCTGTGCCCGAAAGGCCTGGAAGCCCAGTCAAGCCATCACGTGGCTGGACCGCATGGCGGCTTTGCCGCAAGTTCGATGACCCGACGTAGACATTCTGAGCCTCCATGTTTGCTCTTCGTGGTACAACTTGTCGATGTGCAGCGCTTGGCACGGGCTATCGTGCTCGGCCACAGGACCGAGAGCAGGTGGAGCCCAACGCCATCTGCTTCGGTGCAGCCACTTGAGTGCAACTTTGGTGCGGTGCCAGTGATGTTTTGCTGTTGGCCCATCAACTTCGACCGGCGGCCAGAAGCCCACACAATCCCACGTATGTCACCAAACCGCATGCGTTTTCCGCTCAATCTGACAAAGTCTTGGGCACCATGCGTTCTTGGAAGTCGCGGTCACACCTGCCTGCCATCAGTTGCAATGGCGGTGCAAAATGTGCAAAATAGCTGCTACTTAGCTACTTGTTGCCTGATGTTCAAGGTGATCGACGCCTATGCGAAGTCTGGGCAGCCACAAGATGCGGTAAAGGTTTTGCAGGACATGCAAGCCCGCAAGCTTCAGCCAGACCTCGTAGCATTTTCCTCCATCGTGGACGCCTTCTCCAGGCTCGGAAAGGTGGGCCCGAGTTGTGGAATGAGTGTGGACAGTGTGGAGTGCTCGTGTGCCCCTACTGCGTTCCTCACTGACCTCACTGACCCCACTGACTCTCTCTCTCTCTCTCTCGCTCTCTCTCTCTCTCTCCCTCTCTCCCTCCCTCCTTCTCCTGAAAGGCAGCCGATGCAGCCTTGTGGTTGGAGAACGCTGAGAGTTGCAACTTGCATCCAAACATCATCGTCTACAACAGCATCATTTCGGCCTGCGCTCGCACGGGAAACCCCAAGCAGGCCATGCTTGGCATGGTGCACGAATAGTTTGAAGGGTTATCGGGGGCTGCGGCACTGTGTATATGGTGCAGGCCATCCGCTGGCTACAGAAGATGCAAGCGGCAAGTTTAAGGCCAGATCGTACTTCTTACGGTGGCATACTGGATGCGTTCTCCAAGAAGACTCTTGGGCACATAGCTGAGAGAGTGTTATTGGCCACTGACCACTGACCACTGTAGGCACTGGCTACTGCAGATGATGTCGTGACACTGGCACTGGTCTGACCGAGGAAAGGCGTCAAGTTGCAAGAGGTCACTCGTTGGTTCCACTGCATGGTGAATGACCGGCACTCGCCAGATGAAGCTGCGTTCTCGTGCATGCCGATTGGCTGGATGTAGTTGGAGCCCGCTCTTTAAATTTGGAATTCGCACGAATGGCAGCCGAACAGACCACACAGAGCATACATCCAAGCAAGACTGAACAGGTCTGAGCATTGGTACAAGTTGCATGCATGATCTTCGCGCTTAAAACCCCGCTGTGTCGACACTTTTCTACATCGCTTCGGTGCTCACATGCCCATGAGCCGAGGATCTTCTGCTGCGCAAGGGCGCGCCGCCCGGAAGAAGCAGAGGCTCGACAACTCGATGTAGAGCAGAGACGGAATGCAGCGGTGAGTTATTTCGAATTCGGCTGAAATCTGGTAGGCTTGGCTTCAGCGCCTGCGCCAGTCGGAGCTGAAACCCGATTCCAGGCCAGGCACTTTCGGCAAATGCACGTAGGTTGAACCGGGAGGGGTAAAAGCTTGCAGGCGAGAGGGATTCTGACATCGTGCCGTTGAGGTCCTTCAATGGCTTGATTGCTGCTGCGGGCCAGTCTGGTCAGCTGGACTTGGCAGCGCACTTCCTGAAGCAGATGCAGAACAGCAATGTGCAGCCCAATGTTATGTCGCCACTTGGCTCTTTTTCCTTCATCGGCTTGGATCAGCCTTGAAGTTATGTAGCTTGTCCCAGTCAGGTACACCAATATCATCAGCGCCTGCGCCAAGACTTCTGCTTGCCATGCTGCCGTTGGCTGGCTGCAAGAGATGCGGGAGGTGGCGCTGCCCCCCAACCTCCTGTCGTACACCTGCGCGATTGAGGCCGACGCAAGGAGGGGGGGATGGAAGCTGCGCGGCTGAGCCTCCCAACAATGCCAGGCATGCTTGCGTGCCGGCCGAGCCGCCGACACTCAGGAAGCACAAGGGGCCCAGATGGGACATGGCCAAGGGCCTCAGTCCCAAGCGGCCCGGGCGCAAGCGCTGTCCCTGCTCCGGCGCATGCGCCAGGAAGGTGCTGGTTCCGCCAAAATCTTTGACAAATGACTTGCCACAGCAGACTTGACACACCCTGATGGCTTCCTTGAGGCATCCATGTAGATACAGTCCTTCTGGGCAAGCTGCGCCGGCTGGGCTCAGAGGCAGGGTCGCCAATCAGGGTGATCCATCAGTTTTTTTGTCATGTGGAGTTAGATATGACTTGCAGATCGCCGTACTTCCAGCAGCTCAGGACTTGCTTGCGACGACTTGAGGCAAAAGCCATTGGACCGGCAGCCAGTTTGGGCCAGTACGTCAAGGCTTGACATGGATTTGTCAAATGGCAGAAGGCGCACCGCCTGAGATCCGTCCCACCGCAGAGCCAGTGTGGTCTTTCCTTAGGGATGTCCAAAGCTACGCCACGCCCGGAGCAATGGCTGGGCAGAGTGGCGCTGCGTGCGGAGTCGGGATGCTGAGATTTTTCGGACGTGAGCTCGCGTGGAAGGTCGAGCTGGTCCGTGACGAGTTTCCTAGTTCCGACGCCAGTCTTACTGAGTCTTAATCCTGGATCCACCGTGGGAAGATGAAGACCCAGGCACACCCCCAGGATTCTGGAAGCAACTTCTCAAGTTATGCGGTAGTGAGCCTCCATGTTCGGAAGCGAGCATTACACGAATTGTCGGAAGGGAGAGACAGGTGGATCAGAACTGTTGCCCAAGCTGCTCGTTAGGCGATTGAATTCTGTTTCGTTCTGCTCGTATTCGTACCGGTTTAAACGGCCCATTAAATATTTGAAAGCGCCGGGAAGTTCCATAATACAGATGAGCAAAGCGGGTAGAGGCGGGGGCGGGGACACGACAATCCTAGAAGAATTCTTGAGACTTCAAGTACTTTGAACACGTTTATCAATTATGGATACCCCTGTGTTTAAGAAAATGCGCATGGCCTTAAAGACGACTTTCGCTACATCTCTCATGACATATTTCTTGTCCACTCCGACCAAACCTCCTCCGAGGAAGGGACTCTCTGAATATGATACTGATATTAGTTCATGAAATCTGACAAGATTTTGGCAAGGAATTTCATGAATTTTGTTCAATGAATTTTGATATTATTATTGCATGATCAGTTATTTCTTTCAGTAAATGAAATTCTTGGCGAAGTGCTTTTTTTCTGTTCTTGAAAATTCCTGGGAATTTCAAGAAAATGAGCCATGAAGATTTGGGGAATTTCACGAAGATGGCTCATGAATATTTCTGGAGTTTTCATGATAATGATCTGTGAGAATATGGAGATGATCCTTGAAAACTTTTACGAAATTTCCCGACAATTTTCGTATAGAGGAACTCGCGTGACAAATATAATGAAGCCCTTAGGTATCAAAGAGCATGAATTTCTTGACGTGATTGGAGACCCTCCAGGCCCTAAGGGTAATACAAGACCTGCTTCTTGAGGTACGGCAGCCGACGCGCTCACGAAGCCTCGGTGAGATAATTATTCTGGGAAGAATGGATGAGGGCTCCGGTTACACCAATAGGCAATCTCCTCGAATGGTCCTTGTAGATTGGGTGCCCGGACAGAGGTATCCAGTTCGGGGTGGTAAAAAAGAACTATCATTCTCAAGCGTTTTCCGGTATAAGTACGATCTAAGCGGCTATACATGAAGATGAAATTTCTTATGCTTTCGATTAATTGCACGCCTACTTGCACGCTTTGGAGGTGCATCTACTTACACGCCTTGGAGGTGTCGGGCCGTCCATTAAACGTGCTTGACTTTTGCCCCGGCGCTGCGTTATCTTGTTTCGGGCTCCACCGCTACGTAAACGCGCGCGGGGAATATTAATTATGCGGCTGGGCCATGCAACGGGACGCGCGCTATGGTGGTTGCTGCTTGTTATTACCTTTTTCACGCAGTTCTTTCTAGTGGTTATACATGATTACTTCTTCCAAAATCCTGTCTCAAAGTTAAGGTTAGTCGTGACGTGACAAAAGATCCTATCAAATCGTATTGAATGAGGGGGTATTTTGCCCAATGTCTAACATAAATGACAAGGAATTTATGACGCGTGCATTTGTATTCGAAATTTGGGCCCGTTGTCGATTAATATGAATACGAAGTGAATTCACTGAATTATTTATCAACCTGTGCATGAAATTACGTAATTCAGGAATGAACGAAGCTATAGCGTACGAACCAAATCCCTTATGTTATTAGTGTTTTTTGGGGGGTTTTGTTTGTACCACTCTTACGTAGAGAATGCAATGAACTAATTTACAAATGAAGTGAATATATGAACAGAGTGCGTGAAATTAGTGAACCCTAAACCCTAAACCCTGTACCCTACACCCTACACCCTTCACCCTACACCCTAAACCCGAAACCCAAACCCGATTTAAAAGGCTTCAGCTGCAGATTGCAGAGTATAGGGAATAGGCTTCAGGATGTGAGGTATAAAGTGTCACCGTACATTTGACGCTGGATCTTTTAACCGCCGATGATTTTAAGAGTTCAGGATTTCGGGTTTGTTGTTTTGATCTCAAACCCCAAGTCCCAGGCCTGCAAACCGCGGACCTCCATATCCCCAAACCCCCAACTGCTAACCTCAACCCCTACATCCTAATCAAACCGCAAAGCCACACGCCCAAATCTTTATTGCCCCATCCGAAGCAAGCCTAAACCTTAGCCTTACACCCTACCCGCTGGACCCTAAACAGGGGTGTTCATGATAGGCTTTCCCTTCCTTTAGAACCAGCATGCGCGCTTGTGCTTGCCCAGAGTAGGCCCTAAACCTTAAAACCGGCCCAGAGTAGCCCAGATTAGGCCTTAAACCCTGAAGCCAGCCCAGAGTAGGCCCTAAAACCAGCCCTGATGGCCATGAACCCTACAGGGCCCAGACTAAGCCCTAAAACCAGCACACAGGAGGCCCAGAGCAAGCCATAAACCCTAAAACCAGCCCTAAAAAGGAAATAAACCCCAAAGCCAGCCCAGAGTAAGCCTTAACCCTAAAGCCAGCCCAGAGTAGGCCGTAAACCCTAAAGCCAGCCCAGACTAGGCCCTGAACCTGAAAGCCAGCCCAGAGTAGCCCAGAGCAGTCCCTAAACCCAAAAGCCAGCCAAGAGTAGGCCCTAAACCCTAAAGCCGCCAGGTGGTGCTGTTGTACCCTTGTTTAGAAGCGTGGTAAGTATACTTCGGAGCAGCTGGTCTTGGACAGCCCGGAGTAGCCCTTTCCCGGTGCTGGCCGCCGCTGCACATGTTTCTTGGCAAAAGCAAAGGAGATCCATGCTCGAAGCCCAAAATCGCATTCCGCAGGCCTCCACCTTGCCAAGTGAGCTGCGCCAACACTTTGAGGACATATCTACCAAGCTGGCATTGTCTTCAACCGAGACAAGCGAAGTCGAACAGCTGATTGATTTTCTTAACGAGCATGTCCGTCCCAGTCTTCCTGGTAAGTCCCTGCAATTCAATAGGTTCCAACTCGCCGGTTCTGTCGCATCGCGTTGTGCCATATATCCCCGCTACGATGTTGACATTTGTTGCCTGTGGGAAGCTTCGCGTGAGAAAGTTGAGAACGAGCACCTTCAAGATGCTATGCAAGTCGCTTTTGATGGGGCGCGGGAGGCACTGAAGCAGATCGGATTCCACCTGTTCTATAAGAACCGCATCGGTGGTGACAACACCTGCACATTCAAGTGGGGATTGCATGGACGCTGGAAGCATGTAGATGTGGATATTGTGATAGGTCAGCCACTTAATATATACCCGATGTCCCTGTACCATGTACTTGCGCCACAATACACGAAGTGGCAAACGTATTTGGGACCCATGCCACAGTTTCAGATGGGTAACGGCTACAGGGAGATAAGCACTACGAGCGGCTATCGAAGCACCCATGAGCGTTTCTCTGTCGCCATTGCATGCGAGGCTCGACAAAGTGATCTTATTGCTCAAGGGGCAATTCGAATATTGAAATATTGGCTGCTGTGTATTAAAGTGCAGGCTGGCGTTGGCCAATTGATGGACAGCCAGTACCTGTGGAGCAAGCTGTGCTCCAGTTGGATACGCATTTTCTCAAGCGAAGCCCATTCTGTGCCACGGGCCGAGGACATGATTGCTGGAATTGTCACCTGGAAGAGAGAGAGCGCAAAGTGCCTGGATTTGCATTGGCTTTGCTCGTGGAGGCTTTTTGTGAGGAGAGGTATTTCCCCAGCATCGCTGACTTGGTGCTCCACACGTGGACTTTCCTGGCGAATACGGACCCGGCAAATCGTTATGTTGTTCGAGCTCGTGGTGGCACTCCATACGTGGATGTCATGCACGATTACAAACGCTTTCCTGATTATAATCTTTGCATCATGCAGCCAGATAAGAATCAGAATGTACTCATAGATTTTGAGTGCACGCCTGACTTAGTTGAGTGCGCCCGACGCACCTTGGTACTGGTGGACCAGAGTGGTGATCAGCCTTTGAGAAACTTGTTTATCCAATGCCATTTGAATCCCATGTGGGCTCGACGCTTGGGTTTTGGCCACATGCCATGGACTCTTGCTCACACTGTGCTTCACACAGCGTCACGGAATGACATGCTGGCGTGGATCTGTGTATGTGGGAGGGAGCCCCCACTTCCAATCGATGAGGATGCCTGGAGAAAGTTCCTGCGTTGGTCCCGTGCTCGGCGAGTCGTTTCTGCTGCTATTAAGAGGAGACGGCAGCAGGATCCGCGCGGGCGTGATGTGGCTGATAAGGCGGATAGTCTGTGGATGGACTGGTGGCATAGCGAGTCCAGTCCAGGTCCATGGCCCAAACTCCTGCGTGAATGCACGGAAAACATGGCTCGCAATCATGCTGAACATTGGAAGAGGCCGTTGCCTAATGTGTTCGGGTGTAGTTGACATAACTTTGTTCTGATGCCGAACTCTAGACTCTAAGCGTGAGCGTACTTGTTACAGGGGTCCAATTTCGTTGGACATTGTTTTGAGACGTGACTCATCTATACACCTTAAAATTATTCCCCGTTCTCATTTGTACTCAACACCATATGAGTATTTTGGGTCTCGGCTTTAAATATCCTCCGGTTTGTTTTCGACGATTGCTTTTATTGAAGCCTTTCAAGAAGTTTGATCGAGTCGAGATCTCCCTAGCGTAGTAGAAGCCCTTGAATGATCGCCGTCTACGAGCTTAGTGGTGTTGTGCGGGCTCGTCATTTGCGATTTTGTGTGTCGGGTTGTAATATATTTGACTCTGATGAATATGATTCTATAATATTATATCTTCTCCATATTGGATCCCCGATATTATTCGTATATCCCCAAAAAAGGCTACGGGCTCGACCCCTATTTTCGCTCTGCGGCCGCCCTGTCGGATGCCCCGCCTCCTCTTCCGGTCGCTTTGGCTGCTTGTGAGGGCCTTGCAAGGGGATCCTGAAAATTCCGGGAATTTTAACGCTTATTGTCTAAAAATCCTGGGAATTTTGGGAATCACCCGGAGCTGAAAATTCCCGGAATTTTAGGAATCACCCGGATTGAGGTTTAGGCTTTCCGGATTGGATCTATGGTTCTAGCACAACAATGATGACGTGGGTGCCCCTTCACCTTCAGGGAAATCTTCAAGGAAATCTCTTGGTCCAGGGTAGTTCAGATGACGGTCGCCGCCCGCCAGCTGTTCAAGGGGGTTCGGCCTCACGATCACATATCAACAACAACAGAGTCACCATGTTCGCACATTCACTTCCACTTGGCGGTATGCAGTGTCGACGCTGGACACGCCTCATGAATTTTTCGGGATCCCCGGGTTCAGGGTTTAAGGGTTTTACGGTTGTAGGAGTTTGTCGGGTTTGGGGGTTTTGTTTTTTGCTTCTGTCGTAATGGTGTGGGTTTTGTCGGGCGTGGTGGGGGTGGGTGGTTTTGGGGTGCTGAGGGGCTGGGGTTGAGGGGCCAGGCTGGGGTTTTGGTTTGCTGCAATGGTTTGGGTTTTGTCCGGTTTGAGGGGCTAGGGCTGAGGGGTTGGGGTTTGAGGGGCTGAAGGGCTGAGGGGCTGAGGGCTTGAACCGCTGAGTTGAGCAGGGGTTGAAGAGGGGCTGAGAGGAGAGGGATTGAAGGAGGGGCTGTTCAGGGGCGGGGTTGCTGAAGGGAGGGATTGTTAAAGGGAAGGGCTATTGAAGGGGGTTGTTGAGGGTTGCGAGGGGGCTGTTCCGGATTGGGGCTGATCGGTTGGGGTTTTTGGGGGTTTTGTTTTTTTTTTTGTAATGGTTTGGGTTTTGTCGGGTATGGTGGGGGGGGTGGGTTTGGGATGTTGAGGGGTTGGGGTTGAGGGTCTATGGCTGAGGGGCTGGGATTGAAGGGGTTGAGGGGCTGAGGGCTTTCTCTTTTTTCTATTCAATACGTGGTGAT